GACTGATGACCTTCCTAAGTTTCAACTCATTGTACTGACCGCATCATTCCTCATATAGCAGGGTGGTACTCACTCAGCCCCTCCTTGTTACCTTTTCATTTCTATAGTCGGAATCTTACGATATTATTTATCACCGTTCCCTTGGAGTTTTTGTCCTTGCGGCATTTACGGTAGTTTAGTCAGGTATCTCCTCCTCACTCCAGTGGGGATGGCTTTTACTTTGAAAATTCTTACCTCCTGGTGTGGTTTTTATTGCTGCCTGGGATGGTGTCGGATGATTGGCTACCAGGTACTTGAATTGTCTGTGTGTTTGGGTAGTTCAGTTGTGGACTGTAGTTGGCGGCCTCACATATTGCAAGTAGGGCCTACCTTCTGTTTCTCTGCTTCTGTTCGCTCACCCTCCCCCTTCCTGTCACATCGGTTAGCAGTGCCTCTTGCCTGTCATTTGGTCTGTATTTTCGTACCTGTAGGACTGGCTTTGGCTGGCTCTGCTTACTCTTTCCCGGCTTGGTTGGACTTCAGTTCGGCTGGGTTGGACGGTGTGACTAGTGCAAGTGCCTTCAGGTGTTGGTACTGCCTCCTTTGTGGCTCCTGGCTGTAGCTGGTAGGCACCCCTCGGCTGTACGATGTTGAGAGTTAGGGCTTTGTTAGTACGGCCAAGACCAGTGGCTGCCTGATGGGGTGAGGTAGAGGCTGTCCTGTGGCTGTCTGATGGTTGATCTGTCTAAGGGGCTGGGGGGGCTGGATGGGCTCTGTGGTGTCTGGTGTATAGGGCTTGGAGGGGGCTGATTGAAGGGGGAGAGGCACCTGCAAGTACCGGTCAGGCCTGTGTAAGGTTGGGCAAGGTCTAATTAAGTATTTCCAGTCCAGCTTGGGCTGTAGGGCGAAGTTGCTAAGTGCTATAAAGCTCTCTGACAGACTGGCTGGCTGAGGGCCACCTGTGCAAATAGTGGGCTGCAACCACCTGGTTGGACTTGTTTGGGTCTTATGTGCCAGGCTTTGTAGAGTTTGTTTGGTTTCTTTAGTTTGGCTACGGGTTTGGTAGGAGGAGGCATGGCACCACAGGTGGGAGATAGGTCCCACTGACTTTCTTGGTCTGTTACTCCCTTTATGTATTTTCTTTGTTTGTGTTGTTTTGTTTAGGGGATAGGCAGTGGGTACAGGTCCTCTTTACCGGTACGCTCTTCGGAAGCAACCAGCAAAGTGAGTTCATAGGATCGATGGCCTGGCATGCGGGTACGAGAGGTGGAAATAGTGGTTGCCTCCTCCCTGCCATTGTATCACCTGTTGATTTAGTTTGCATTTGTTAGTTTTCTACTATGGTGGAGGTTTCATGGGACGGTTTTCAGACCGGGTAGTAGTGATTTTATGTTTGTTAAACAAGGAACCTGGTCAGGTTGGTCTTTTGCTCGGCTTTGGCTACACTTAGTGCAGGTTGGCTTCATACCAGAGGGGCTACGAACTTGGGCCAGGGAGGGTGCTCAGTTGTTTGATGGTATTGTAATTAGTTTCCATATGGGCATGACTCGGGGATGGTAGGTGCACGACTGTAGACTTAGTTAGCTTGGAGTTAGTAGTATACCAGTTAGCAATATCCCTATGCTGGCGGGAACTTGTCGTATGCCTGTGTTGGCGGTACGAATTTAAATAAAATTAGATTGAATTCTCAGTACTTTTCTTACTTATTACTTTAACGAATACAAAATACCTTTACAATCTTTATTCTTATTACAACCTTTGTTATTATTATGCAGAGAATACTCTTCATAGAGAAGAGTTAGAGAAAGCTTATGATAGGCGTTCTCAATAGAAGACAGAGATCTTGTACTATCGGAAACATAGGCAGAGGCCTAGTACTATCGTGAGACAAGTAAGGAGAGGAAGAGAAGCATCATTCCCCATCACCAAGAACAAACTATCCGAAAAGGGATCGTTACAGCTTGTTTCATCAAAATTGTAGCAGTCATGGTCCTCAATGCTGTACTTCTCATGGATAGTGTAGTATCGCTCGAGCCAATCTTTGATCTCATCTGATTGATGAGCATTCTTTCTGTTGATATCAAGAGTGTGTTGTTTTCGAATTGAATACTCTGGATGACGGATCATGAAGCGCCTAGCCCAGTGGTCTGCAACAGTAGGAACTGAACCATGGTCTCTATGGGAATACTACGAAATAGCATTTGCTCAACCAGAAGCCATGGAGAGGTGAGCACTTGTCCCTATTGCGTCCAAGCGGTCCAGGTATTGATACACAGCCAGTTCTTGGTCTTCAGACAGTCTCCTGTTGGTTGCTTCTCTATCATGTTTTGATGGGACTCCATGCTACCAAGCTCGAAGTCTGGATTCTGGAATTTTATACTGGCGGGCAAGTGCTGCAAGATTTGGTTTCTCATACTCTATACCTTCAAGAGAGGCAATTGCAGCTCGAATTTGGATCTTGGTATCTTCGTAAGATTCCACCCATTGACTAGGTAGTATAATAGTAGCTGGTACTGGCACCATGATGGTGATTGTATAGCAGAAATTGGTATTGAGAGGATAGGCTTTGAGTAACTCTGAACAGATTAGCAGTAATTGTAGATAGGATATATTTGGAAGATTGTTTGAAAATCAAGTTGGTAAGTACTGGACAATTGTAGCAGTCAAGCTTTAACTTTAATACATCTATATATAAAATAGAATACTATATACAATGGGTTTTGAATAGAATTGTAAGAAATGGAGATTCATTGAAGTTCAATGGTAAAGATCAATAAGAATATAAGATCCCATTGAGCAATAGAGCTCCATTAAACTTCAATGTCATATTCAGCTATAAGATTGCACTGTGCTGCCCCAATAGCTTGAACTGCAATAATATGTTAAACTCTAAACAAACAATAATCTACTAGTATTATGCTACCTATAGATGCTATGTGAAAGTTATGTTGGCTAATAAAGTTTCTTTATACTGTCATTCACCTTGAGCCACAAACAAATTTTAAGCCACAAAAAAAGTTCTGTTTAGCCACAAAAAAGTTCTGTTGAGCCACAAAGATTTGTGTTGAGCCACAAGTTGTGTTGAGCTGTAAAGTCATGTTGAGCTGGCAGGCACTCTGGAAGAGTGCCCCAGGTTGCGAGCGAGCGAGCAGCCGGGGGTTGTGGCTTTGCAGCCACAACCGTGGCACGATTTTGTCTCCCCAGGGGATATGGAACGTCTGGTCACGGAGCCAAACCTGGCTCCACGAGTCTGTTTACGGCTTCAAGATGCTGCTTTGGAGCTGTCCGGAGCATCATCTAAGATCATAGCGAGTGATTTTTAACGGGAGGCCTAACCAGGGGCTCGTCTAGATAGAAAACGGCCCTGGACGAGGCGTTGGGCTCGGATCCCCTCTTTTTCTTTTTTTGCCCTGCATGGAGGTTAGAGTGAGTTTTATAATTATTATGATATAAATAGGTACGAGTACAGTACAGTATGTACTCATGGTTCTCTGCAATCACTGAAAAGTTTTGTGGCGCGCGGTGGGAAGAATAGATCTGGGTGTACTGTACATGGAGTGGTGAGAACTGATACCGGATAATTCATCATCTTGGGAGCGGACGGACGGACCGCGAGAGTTACCAAGAATGCGTTACTTTACAACTTCCATTGTCCGCCGAGATTCTGTCGCCCAACGTGTTCGTGGGAAGTGGGGTAAACTTAGCGGAAGAGGTGAATACATGATCCGGAATCTTGTTTTTCGTTATGATACTTGTAGATAGTTCCGGTGACTTCCAGCTTTGAGTACCGGTATTGGAAAGCACAAACGCTGTGCCCATCACTGCCCCAGCACTCATTTTCACTGTTCGGTCGCAGGATGGTGAAGACCTCCTCCAACCACCAAAACGTCCAAAAAAAAACGCCAGGTTCCCACTTTCTCCCCTCCTCCAAGCCTCGGCGCCCAATTACCCCGCGATACGGTACTTACTTAGTACGTTATCCCAACAATTTATTCGCAGCCGCATCACACAGCTCAAAGTGATACGGTGCTAACTAAATCTCGGCACCGGTGCAGTGCCGTATTAGCAGCACGTACGGTAAATCAGGTACCATACGGTGAGCACTTAACCGCCCACCCGCCCCCACCACCATGACCATGACAAACCCCAGCACAACCCCTCACTCGCTCGGCTTCCCCAACGTTTCCCAACAATTCCCTCCGCCAACATTAGCGAGGGTATGGTATTTATATACTGTACCATCCATCCACCCACCGCCATCCAAACAATACCGATTCCTTCCTTTCAGTTTCCGTGCCGCACAAGTACCGCAAACAATCCAAGCAGGAATGAGGGTGAAGATGAAGATGGGGATGGGGATGGGGATGGGGATGGGGATGGGGACGGGGACTGTCGATGGGATATATAAACAAAAAAAGAAATAAACGATCGCGGGAAGACTCGAACTCCCAATCTCTGGTGCCGAAAACCAGCGCCTTAACCATTAGGCCACGCGACCCTATCCAGTGAACAGGGGCAAAGTTTGGTATTTGATCGGTAGCAATTTGGGACCGTTTTCAAGAAGAGGTGAAGTTGGAGTTTGGATATATATATAGACTATACAGAAAGTTCCCGGCAATCACCTCACAGGGAGCAGGCAGGCAGAACGAAAAGGATTTCGCTGCTCTTGCTGTATCGTATTCGCGGGCACTCTGTTCCGTGTTTCTTTTGCGGCGAACCCGGGTAACTTGGGCTCCACTACGTTACTCTGCCGTGCATCACCAACCTATATCGTAGTACTGTACAATACCGGTACTGTGCAAGTGGCTCACGCCAGGAAGGGGACTTTACTCTTCATCTTTCCCGGCACGATAAACTGAGTGTGCCATCATCCATTTGTTCCTCCATTTCATCACCTTCTCGCAATCTAATTTGGTCCAACCTGAATACCCTCAAAAACGCGCATCACACTTGCCATAGTGACACAATCAATCGATTCACTCCCATCCAAAGCATCCAGACCGTAAAAAAAGGCACCATCATTGCGGCATCCATATGGAACTATGCTTAGTGACCATCCGTAAACCTAGCTAGCTAACTAAGCTAAGCTAGATAAACTAAACTAACTAAATTAACCTACCTACCTAGCATCATCAAACCCTATCCTAAAACATAAGAAAGTGCAAGAAAACAAGCATGACCGCTATATCCCGTTTCCCATACGCGTTGCAGAGCAAAATAGGAAACACAAAAGGGAGTGGACAAAAAACAAATGCACCGACCCTTCCTGGAAGCAAAGTTGAGAAACCGTCTTGGCAAGTGGACAATCGTAATAGGGAAAAGTAAAAGGAGAGGTTTGGCGGGGCACATGAAGTGGCTTATGTTAAACCACATATGATACGGAATGAAAGAGGTATTTGTGATGATATGATAAAAAGAAAAGAAAAGACTAACCCATCCAGTTGGTCCTTTCGTTTTAAGAGAAAACCCCCATACCCATCAACAAGGCTATTATGGTTTCTGTTCCGAACACGAATAGAAGCAGTAGTTGAAAACAAGAACCAAAAAAAATAAAAAATAAAAAATAAGAAATCATACGACAGGAACTACCCTAGGTTCCAGAAACCCGCCTGCCACAGCCACGCCCGACGCCATTGCAGCCATACTCTCCTTAATGCTAGAAGGATCCTCAAATACCGCTTCTACAAACGAAACGATAACTTTCAACGCGTACCAGACCGCTGGGCCGTAGCTCATTGCCATTGCCATGAGGATCAGTATCAATGCGGGGAGCTGTTGGTTGTTGGTCAGTAACATGCTATCAAAGGTGGGTGGGAGAAAGCTTTAACTTACCCAGAAAAAGTACAGACGACGATCGCTCTCAATCTTCTTCATTTTCCTGGCATGCGCGCGATACTCATCTTGTTGCTCCTTCGTCATGTCCTGTACGCCTCTTGCGATGCGGTATCTCAGCTCGTTGACATCGAGTGAGGATGCAGAACTCAAGGACCCGGAAGATCCGGGTGGCACGAGTTCTTCCTCTTCTAGTAACTTTGCGTTATCTGCCGCCGAACCTCTCTCCAACACAATGTCTCCCGGAGGACCATGTGAACCGCCAGGTTGGTGTGGGAACAGTTCGTCGTATGCGGGAGGCGCCTGAGGAGCACTGAAGAGTTCCCACCAGGTGTACTGACCCTTCTTGATCTCTGGACTGTTGACTACATCCCTGTCTTGCGCAAATGGGGATGGTGGCATTAACGCATGGAACCTAGCCATCGGGTTCTGAAGAGCAGCCATAGGATTCTGGAAGATATGCTGGTAATCCGCAGCGGTTGGCATTGCCGGGAGATTCCAGTGAAGGTTTTGCAGGTTTTGAATGCTAGCAGCAATCTGCTCCCTCCAGGCCGTTACAGCAGCCGCTGGAGCAAGTCCTTCAGTAGGGGGGGGCATGGAACCAGGCACAGGTGGGGCTCGGTCTGTCGCAAGAACATTATCACCAAGCGAAGCGTTGACCGCAGTAGTCTCATGACGACTACCTCTCCTGGAGTGCATCCAGCGATCGTCCACGCTATCATCGCCGTCACCACTAGCGCTCTCGTCCGCAGCACCAAAGAAATCATCAACCCCAACATACTTATGACGTCCAGTCTCCATACCACTTGGGTCCCACATAGCACTGAGAGATGCCGAACTGCCCGCTCTGCTCCGGCTTCCGAAGTGGCCCTCGGATGAAGTTGAGCTGGCACGGCTCTGGTGTCGGGAGCGAGTATCACGTTGTGATCTTCCCCTCGAAGACCCCTGTTTGAAGGCAAGATCTATCGCGGTATCTCCATTTCTAGTCTGCAAGTTGGGATTCGCATTGTGACGCAAAAGCCTTCTGTAAATCTCAAGGTGACGGTGCAGTGCAGCAAAATGTAAAGGTGTGTATCCATTAGCATCAGCAGCTTGGACCGACGCCCCCCTCGCCAAGAGGGCGGCAGCAAACCGCCCCATATTAAGCATAGACGCCAAATGAAGCATGGTTTGGCCCGCCTTGTTCGTCAGATCGAGGCGGAAGGGATAAGGGCTCTCATCGAGATCCATTGCGTCCAAGAATTTCAGCAGAGTCCCCTCAAGTCCGTGGCGTCCAAAGCCACTCTCGCCCGCTAAACGTCGGAGGTATTGGTGATGCTGCTGGGAGCCGCTAGTCCCATCTTGCGAGGCACGTGGGGATCCCTGGCTGAAGGCGGACCCTGTATCACCCTCAATAATACTCCGTGCAATATCCTGGGGGTTAGACATCGTCCCCCGCATTTTCATTCCAACAATTTGCAGCGCAAGCTCCATCAAAGACTTGTCAGCATCATTAATGTACGTAAAGAATCGAACTTTGTCCGCGCCTGTCCCAAGTTGAACATTCCTGATTGACACAACTACTGGCCCGGGGGAAGCATTGGGAGGCAATAAGCAGACCATGGTTGTTGGGCTAAAGAAAAAGTTGTAACTTGCTGGTGTCCCACCAAAAAGGACTGTTAACCCTGGTACAAAACTCCGCCCTAGTACAGTCACTTCGATTCCGCCTCTACATGTCCCTTCCTGGGGGACCAGTCGGCTAACTTCTGGAAGCTGGCTGGCCTCAGACTCTGGAGGGACAGCCTGGAAATTGTGTGTTTGGACATGCCTCACTTGACTCTGTGGATGCATAGGAACTCGAGATGCAGCCTGCTGAGCCCGTAGGAAGGCTTCTTGTGGAGATGGGCTAGGGGCACGGCTAGGGCGGGCAGATTGGGGTGAGGCGAATTGACTTCTGTTATCAAGTCCATTGAAATTGGTACTCGGGGTTGAATCGAACTGGAATCCCGCATGATCACTCATCCCAGATGGAGTCATAGGCTCGTCGGCCCAAAATGCTTGGGGGGATTGGGCTACCGAGAAAGGGTTGAGAGCAGGTGCTTGAAGTTGGGTTGGCTGGTTGTTCGCGATCAGGGGCCCATTCTGTTGTTGGAACGAAGGGCATGGGTTGTCCATTCGAGTCATAGTCAAACCAACTGGCACTTTAGGAACGGAGTTCATTCTCCTCTTTTTGGTGGAGGGGTTTCCGCTGGGCAGCTGAGGTGGAGGCGACTGCTGATGTGATCCAGTGGATGCCATGGGGGACGTGGGAGACATATTGCGGCCAAAAGGAGGGGGAGGGGAAAACGAGCTTTGTGAGAAAAGTGGCGACTGAGGGGTCGACCCGTGAGCCCCGGAGCCCATGGCACCGAAGCTTTGCTGGTTGTCGTGGGATGAAATGCTGCCTACGGGAGTGCCGAAAATGTTTGGAGGTAGTTGATTCTGGGGAGGCTGATATCCAGTTCCTACAAGTTTGATATCCTGAGATCCGCCATTTATCGAAGGGGTCGAAGCACTGGACTTGTGGTCATCTGTAATCAGTATGGAGCTAGTGATTTGCTGTGCAATCACTACATCTTCATGGTTCTTGATGGTAAAGATAACCCTTCAAAAATATGTCAGCCCTCCTAGCTAAACTGTAAATGAGATGTGCAAATCTCACCTAAATCCCTCCTTTTCGCCCTGGTGCCGACAATAGCAGGCAAGCCTCATGTGAAGTTCCATAATCATGCCATCTTCCCACGAACCCAACACACCACTTCCATCCATGCCACCATTCAGAGATTGAATTCCAGAAGTTGGCAACCATTCCCGGACTTCATGGTTATTAAATACTACAGCCCTCTTCGGCTCGTCCATCATCCATTCCTCTTCCTCTTTGATTTGCTTGGGCTTCTTCCTTGCGGCCCGTTTCCTCTCCCTTGAAATACACCCCACACATATCTTCACTTCACCACCCATCAAAGGGCTCTCCTCGTCTGACGGAGATTCGTCAGACCTCGGGATTGAGTCCTTGTTATCAGAATCCTCCCCACTTGACCCTTCGGCTCCTTCGGCCCGCTGCGGTTCCGTCTTAAATGGTTGTGATCCTTCGCCACGAGCCCGGGCCAAGGCTCTCTGGAGCAACTCCGGTTTCCTCATAGCGCTGGCACAAACTAGGCTTGCATGTAGCTCCAATATGTCGGGTGATTTCTTCACAGATGGCTTTGCGTATAACTTTGGTTTCGAGATACAATGACGAGGAAGGTGTAGTTTAGTCACTGATTTCGGAAAAGGAGACAGGTGTAGCTTAACGAGAATCTGAGTTTCGACTCGAGACTTTGCAGGAATTTGATCGACACTAAGGGTCAATGGCAGCTGAACTTGTTGTACTCCGAAAGGTTGAATAGGTTCAAATGAAAGTCCAGTTTGCTGAGGAAGTGCGAGATACCCAAAATTTGTAAAACCAAACGATCCTGAAGCTGGACTAGTTGCCACCTTTCTCTGTCTTAAACGTTAGCCCTCCGAAAACGTCTAGAAAAAACCACTTGATGCCCGCATTATCCTGTCGATCAAGCATCAAAGGAAATGTGCAGCACAAATATATCACATACCGCTGGGGGTGAGATGTTGGCCGGCCTAGATCCTTCATCTGATGCATCCCGCGAATTATCAAAGCTTCCCCCGGGAAGAGCTCGTTTCCTCCTATTGACCCTATTCGGTGAAGGCCGCGCCGGAGTGACCCCATTACTATTGTTATCGAGCCCTTTGTCACCCGCATAATTCATCCCCGAACGCCAGTTGGTGATAGACTGTGCACCTGCTGAGAAGGTATGTTGAAAAGGTTGCAGCTGCGGACTAAGACTTCCGTGAAGTGGAGAACAAGGTTGAAATTTTGAATTTGGGTTAGGCGAAACCAATTGACTCGTAGTGTTAAGTGGTGAACTAGCCGCACTCTCAAAGTCGAAAAATTCTGTCATCGTCTTGCCAAACTGTTGGCACCCTTCCCCATATCCTTGAGTTGCCATTTCGTCCGTAAAACCCATCAAATCTATTCCCGATTCGCCTTTGGTATTAGATACATTGTCCAGCTCAAGGTCCATCATTTTGACATCCCCTTCGGGAAAAATAGCTTCGGGGGTTGGTACGCTGGATCCCGGCGAGGGCCCGTCGGAGTCTCGACTCCCTCCTGAAAATCGGGAAGGGGATTTGTGCAGTGTGGGTGAAGGTTCGACTCTTGGGGGCGTGGGAGGCTGTCGGATACCAGGGGCCTCGAAAGGATGGGTGGAATTCAGTTCTAGCTGTCCAGCCGAATATATAGAACTTTGGCAATCCAGGTATAACTCGCCGGGGTCTAAAGATTCTGGAGGCGGCGTCAAACCGTGCGGGAAATCGTTGGCCCAAAGCGGCTCTAACGGCACTAGTGAGTGTTTGAAGGTAGGGGAAGCAGGTTGATCAGACGAAGGCGAGTCACAATGGGGGTATGCGAGGGAAGCGGCTGATTCGGTGTCGTCCCTCATCACCGACAATAGCCTAGGGAAAAGGGTAGATTTTTTTTCTGATCGGGGGTTAATTCTCTCGTCTACCAGCGGAAAATAAATGTGGAGCAAAGGCTCAGGAAGGTCCCCCCCAAAAGCTAGCTACAAGCACAATCAGATATTTGCCCGTTAGCAACCAATGTGCCCGCGTGATTTCAACACCAAGGAGATCTCTCGCTCCTGGAGCCAGCAGTGAGGCGGACCAGGTTCCTCACCTAGAGAAAAACAAGATCTAGCCCCGCCCTGTTGCCTTCTGTAGTTCGGAAAGCAAGAGACAACTGAGATTAACCTATGGTTGTTGCGTAGGGAGCCAAAGCTATTGGCGAGAAGGGAGGGTAAAGCTATCGTATGAATTGTATTGAGGAGAGGTACGGGTGGTGTCGGATGAGAACCTTTGGGTGGAGCAGGAGCGTAGGAGTGGGAACAGGGCTCGTCACGGGAAAAAAAAAAAAGTTCTGCGAGTATTTCTTTCCCGTTGGCGGCGGAGGCAGTCAATGGCTTGTGCTGGAACCGGAAGAGGGCAAGAAGGCTGAGAAAACAAACAATTAGTAAAATTTGCCGTGCACTTTTGATGGGTCAAGAGAACTCAACCCTTACAAAGAATCGGCACACTGGTTTATCCCTTGTGTGCTCTCTTGTCGCGGTGGAATGGGGTTGAAGATGGTAGATGGGCGGGTTCCTCTACCGTATCTTTTTTCTGCCTGAGCTGACCGCGGACTACAGAGAACCAACGGTCTTTTGATGCTCAGGGCGAGATCTGATTTGGTGGGGTGGAAGGGAAACGAGGGAAATGAAAGATTGTGAGAGGCTGCGTGCTTGGTACCGGTATTTCTCTTTGCAGCAGTTATCCCGTTACCCCTGCCCGGGTTTGTGATGCAAAAGCGAGTGAAGCACGAATACAACATTAGTCTATGTACAGTACTCGAGTACCGTACTCGAAGGAGAGTGGAGGAGGGCTTGCCGCAGTGTGTCCATCAGTCGTCGCCCTCATTCTGTAGTGTACACCTTGCCGTACTGTGCTGTGCGTACACTACAATCCCAGCACATTGAACACATCGAGAAGCTGCTCACTAGGATATGGTAAAGTACCGTACGGCACGGCAGTCGGTCAGTCACGCTAGTTGTGAGCCATGGTCAAATAATGGGCGATAGAATACACCTTATACGCCCCCTATGCATACCCTGTGCTCAAGATGCACAATCTGTCTCGCACTCTTGCACGCAATATGCTTTCTCAAATACGCAGCCAATAAAGCGCCTGACTGTCTCAGCTTGAACTTTCCTCTCCGGCTACCATATCGGATACAGACCGGTGAATCACGATATCTTGTGGTGGAAGCCCAACTCCTAATACTACGGTACCGGTACCGCAGCAATCCCTTAGTGTGTATTTATCGCTCTCCAGTTCCCTGAATATCCCGAGATTAGGAATAGTTCAAGTGTGGCAATCATATGAGTAGATGCTTCTACTGGTCACGTCACAACAAGAGCTCCCCGTCCATACTACTCATACTCGTACTTGTACCTTTGGTAAAAAAGATCTTGGGCTAACGTAATGCCATTGGTCGCGCTAAAGAGCTCCGAAATCTGCACACAGATTAAATTTAAGCGATAAGATCTCACCTAGTCTACCTATTTCTCGGTCCAAGAGAAGACGAACGCCCGTATGATACTAGCGGCTTTTCCCGATGCACCATAAACGTAATCATGAAGGGAGGAGAGAGGGGAGAGAAAGGGAGTCGCGATGCACCACCACAACCTTCACCAACCACACACATTCAAAAAAGCAACCCCCCATTTCCGAAGACCAGCCGGCCAGAACTTCTCAGCTACCGTACTCGAGTAAGTAGGAAGCATCCACTCGCATGCGTGCATGCATGCATCATTCAAGCGAGGCGAAAATCCCGAAGATGCGTGTATACGATACCGTACTGGCCGGACTACCTTCTTGATAAGGAATGTCTTCTTCCTCTTGTGCTTCTCCCCCTTCCTCCAACCACCTTTACATATGAGTTACCTTAACAATTTAGCGTGCTTGACCGGGAAGCGGATCAGACGGGGAAGTGAAAATCAGTTAAAATGCGCCAAGAAAGTACTGTAGGAATCTGAAAATCTCAATTGACACCCAACACCGGGAAGACGAGATACAAAGATGTAGGAGATATTCCTGGTAGCACATTATGCTCGATTGCCCTCTTTTGATCCGAATTCGGGAGTTTGGGTCTGTCGAAATCTCCGAAGTCAGAATTTGAGCAAAATTCAAATAAGTTACAAAGCGATACACTTTCCCTCTCCCTAAAAAAAAAAGCCTCCCGGTCTGAATGGAGGGGTGAGCCAGAATGTCGCTGTGCTCAGATATACGCCCATCTTTGCCAGTCCTTTGCCAGTCCCTTCTCTTGCTCACCCCATCAGGAACGGATGGATCGGAATGGTAAGAAACCTCTGGATGATAGTCGGAGAACTTTGCCAAGGAAACTTTGTTCTACCGGTATCTGGAGCACAAGTACTCGTACTAGTGCTCCAACCCCCAATGGATTTTCAACCACCACTCCAATAAGAATTGCGGCTCTATTACATGATAGAGAGTGGAAACCCTCTGCATATCGGTGGAGAATATCTCAAGCCTTCAGAGTTGGTCAAATCAGGTAACTTACGAGCCAGGCAATGCCCTGGAGACGTTATCCGCCATTAACTCCCTATGAAAGAGCAGTTAACGGAGTCCTGCCAAGATATCAATCGGGGATTAATATCACGCTTGGTATCATACTGTATCATAAAACGATATATTGTTACTAAGCCAGGTGTGTCCCCCCTCCCCCTCCCCGCCGCTTTCTGTGGTGTGCTCGAGTAGTGCGAGTCCTAGGAATATTTTGACAAACTTGTCTACGAAAGAGAGATCCCGCAATCCTTAGCGGGACTGCGTATGAAGATCAAACGGGTTCTTATCATATCTTATCATGCATAAAAAAAAAGCAGAATCTTGGGCGCTACTGCATCCAGACTATCGATAAACTTTTGATAAAAAAGGAAAGTGTTCGTCGATACCGGTGGTATCATGGAGGTCTTTTTTTTGCTCATTCGAGCTCTACCGGCATCATAGATGGATACCGGTATTAAAACTAAAACGTTTGCATCAGAGATAAGCGGCAGATCCCGCTCACTTACGGTAGTGGGGGGGGCTTCGGTATGATACCATGGTGTGGACCAAGCCACTGCGGTAAACATTATATTACCTGCATCATCCTTAGCTTACATTATTTTATTTTCCGCAGTGGACGTAAGCTGGATCATGTTAACCTAACTCTTTTCGTAGATATAGGGCAAAAGGTCGGAAAGAGAAGACTATTCGAGACTGTTGATTTCCTCATGTGGGATTTTATGCTGTAGCTTAACTGCTCTTAAAGTTTTTAGTGACAGATGATGCTGTGCCATTATTCCTCTTGTCTTCATCAGTGTAGTACGGTTTCTGTGATTCTGCAAAGTTCAAGGTACAATACCGGCACACGCATCATATGGTACCAGCCAAGGTCGGTTCAAAGTTGCTAGTCTTCCAGGAGACCAGAGACACAGAGTCCTTCCCCCTACGTCCCTCTGGGGGTGGGATTGGGTGGAGGACGTTATCGTTAATAATGAAGTGGACTGAAGCAGCTCGTATTATAGTGTACTACCGGTATGATAGATACGGCATCACCACCAGGCATAAAAGCCAATAAAAGCAAAAATAGCTAGTTGGTCACCAAACGGTTTCTTGTGAGTACAAGGGATAGCGACGGGTGTGCTATTGCTAATAAACCCATCGCATTATGGAGAAGTAGACCTATGAACTTTTCAGCAATGCGAAGGAGTGGCCTCGTAAATAACAATGATCCAATACTCTCTCTCTCCACATTCAGCTTTTCTCCTCATCCGCTCGCGATCCCGTATTTCCCACGAGCGCTGCATCAGTTGCAATGGGCGGGCCAGTAAACTCTTTTCGTCCGCGGATGAAATACCAAGCAGCCGAAATCGTAGTGAACCCAGCGAACACAACCGATGCATAATCTATGGACTCAGCTCTGCAGTGAAAAACACTTGATATGGCCTACTTACTCATTGCTGGAGCCTCCACGGGTATAGATACCGGCATACAGAATAATACAATAGCGAGACAGATCCAACATATCGTTAAGATGTTAATTGCTACGCCAAACTTGCCAAGTGAGTAAGGGGCATCTCTGACCAACTTACGGCCTCGGAGGAGCGAGATTAGGATCGGTAGGCCATATGAGGTGCTCAGGCAAATGGTGGCCACCCCAGTGAATGAGTTAAAGGCTGCCGTGCTACAACTAGTCAATTCCAGAGCATTACTTCCAGTAAAAGGGTATCAAACTCTAACGTGCCTGCCAAAGTATATCAAACCTAATAAACAGCAAACCATGGTTGAGAGGAACAAACCCCACAACGGGATGTCATACCTGGTATCCACCTTCGACCATCTGCCATTAATGATTGTTAGAAACTCCCAGAGCTTTTGCCATCGGAAGAACTGCGGGGGTCCTCCAGAAGTCTTACAGCCTTGAGCCCGGGATGGCACCATCTGCAAGAAGAATATTACATTAGTTACAAAAAGTCCTAAATAATGAAATAGCTATTGGAAACCTCTCTGATTTTACCTCTGGCAAATGCATAAGTGCATCTGCTTGCCGCTGTCAAAGCACCGATCCCCGCAAAGAACAATATTCCAAGAACTGCACTTCAGATTAGCGCTGGGCGCCATAAAGTTTGAAGTCCATGGATCCATGTGACTATGCATTCTAAGGAAGTTCATACTCAAAAACAAAAGCCCAAACCCCCCACTTGCACTTCCAGTAACAGTCTTGAACAATAATCCAATTGGCTGTCCGTTTGGAACTTCTAATAGTAGCTTCACGTCCGGCAAAACGAACAATATTGGAACCAAATAGACAACCCCTGTCATACCCGCGGCTGCGACTGAAAGTACCATAGCTCTTGGGACTTCGCGCTGAGGTTGCTGAACCTCTTCACACATTGAGGCAACCATACCGTACCCCGTAAGTGTATAGGCGGCCTGAAGTAGCCCCACAAAGAACGCCCATCCATCGGGCCATCCACTAGCAGATGCATCAAAGTGCGAAAAAACAAATTCTCCACTCCTAGTAGTGTCGGCCATCGAAAGAAGGGTGACAAGAATTATCACTACACTCGCCGCGGTCCAGTAGATGCATATCTTATTGATGAGGTCCAGATACTTTGCGCCCAATATATTGACGAGGGCACATATCAACATTACACCTATGAGAAATTAGTAAGACCACATCCTAGAACTCACGACTACTCAGATCAAGTTTACTCGTACACCAAAACATCAGGATAGTTTGCCATTCGTTGGGCGCCCAGTCATCCCTCCACAACGCAATAGCGCTCAAGATTAACTGCCCTCCCGAGAAGTTTATGCTTGTTGTGACCGTCCAGTTTCCAACTAGCGTTAACCAGCCTGTAATCCACGATGCTATAGGTGCATATTTCCTCGTTGAGAGCATCGCCGACCAGTAGTAAACCCCACCCGCAGTAGGAAGCACGGAACATATCTCAGCGAGCGAAGCGGCGATTCCGAGTGAGATCAGAGAAACTAACACCCATCCCCAGATAATAGTTACCGATTGGCCGTCTGTGAGGGTGATGTACATTGTCGCACTTAATCCCTAAAAGTACTCGGCATCAGCAAAATCCATAGCTTTATCCGACGGAAACCTACGAATGGAACAGCTGCGAAATGCTCAAGATTCACAATTAATATGGAGTTCTTCATTTAAGCTATCGACGATAAACAAACCCATGATTGCGAATGACCTATGGTGGGCGCTGTCAGCAAAACGGTTCCCTCAAGATCCTGTCCGAATATCGGGTGTGCTGGATGCGAGATGTCATAGGGGGCATACAGTCCCAGAATCGATATCATGCTGAGATTTCGCGGCAGTTCTGCCTTGTACCCCATCTTCGCCAGCGCTGTATCCGCTGAGTTATCGACATTTTGACTAGCGATCATCCTGAACTCGCAGTCCGGATTATGACTTCAGCCTTATTTGAACCTCAAAATAAAATTATAAAGCGGTTGATATGAAAGCTCCCCTCTGGCTGGGCACCGGGGGGAATGGAGTGGAGCCGCGATTTAGGGTCGTGAAGTGGAAATTTCTTCACCGAAAGGGTTTTGGTGAAGGTGATTGTGGACCGGGGCGGGTTGTCATTTTGTACCTCCAGCTTGGGGTTTGTCTCTAACCTTGTTTATCGACTCCCCATATTTGCTTCCGCAGGATTGATACGCGATAGCTGGTCGTTTGGCCATGGGGCCAGTGAACACAGTGCCGATTCTGGAAGGTGCTAAGAACGTCGGTGACCTGGAGAAGGGAAGGTGGGAAAACACTCCCATATGTTTGTGTTCGTCTACCATTGACATCCTATTACTTTACCATGACCAAATACCGGCACCTAACCCTTGTACTGTACCAGTCTGTCGAATTCCACCAATCTTGAACCTGATAAAGAGTTGAGGGGACGTCCGGTTGCTGGCCCAAACCTTCATTTTGGCCCCGATCGTGGGGGCTTGCAGAAAAACTCTATCATACCGGTAGCTTTGGTTGTGTTTTTTTGATACAAAAACTCAATATAGTAATCAGGTTGCAAGATGGTGCTCACTTGGCCGAAACCATGTATCGGTCACCTAACCCGATTCTGGTGGGTCTGTGAGAGATCGGACCATGTGACCAATAGGTAATTCAGGCGACGAGTAGGAGGGATCGAAATGAAGGTTTCTGAAATATTGATCTAACCAATATTTCCCCGGCCTGTAACAATGAAAGGCTCTAACACAACTACCAGCACCACGCAAATAGCAACATAGGAAGCAGATCTTGAAATAAACACTGCGATAACCCAAACTTCTCAATGCCCTCACAAATCCATCAATGAGGCTTCTCTCACCTGTTTGCTGAGAGCAGGCTAGGCTCCGAGCATTCCTTGACCTGCCGTCACTCAGAAGTGTGCGGCAAACCAACTCACGAGACCCCAGTCGAGGAGCCGGATACATCGCCGAAGCGCTGTCAAGAAGTTTCTTGAGTTACTTGTCTAGCATGACCGGCAAACCACACTGGTGTATTGTTGCTGAGGCAACCGCAATACTATGGTAGGGTATTACAATTGGAAGAAAGGAAGGAAGAAGGTCGAAATGGTCCATGCATCGATAAGAATATTGAGTACGCCCAACAGTGACCAAATTTTGCTGAGGAATCAGAGGGGGGCTGGTATTATCTGCCTTCAATAGGAGGCCCACCTTTCTGATACAAGTAGCATAATATAATATTCAGCAATCGAATCCCAAAACCAAGTGGCCTTTTGATAAAGATAATAGATATTTACTATTGGTATGAGCTGTGATCCGTTATGATTTCTGCCCGATTATTATTATTATTATTTTCACCCCATGTGCCACTTCCAAGCTCTGGTAGAGTCCTGATAGAGTCCTTTAACCAGAATTCTGCGGCTGCTACTGACCTTTTGACCTTGGTACCGTATGTAACTTACCATTGCACCTCCACAAGTGACAATGGACACTGCAAAAAACGCTAGGACGTGTAATAAGGTCTGCCCTTTCTGGCAAGTTCCGAGCTGAATAGCAATACTCATAGTGAACAACTCATGAGGAATCACTCGATATAAATCTCGCCTCCGGAGTAAAGTGCACTTAGGTATTTCTCTACCAGTATGCGGTGTCTTACGGCCCCGGATGGCTAGATCTGCAAACAATAAAGTTCTCAGATTGGTATCTGGGCACGGTAATCGGAATGGTGGGTACTTTCGATCCGATAATACATAAACTTCGGAGATACCGCATGCGCAGCCGACGACCTAAGCAGGGGGTAAAGGGTTTTCGAAAAAAGAATTTTTGCTAAAAATGGAACTTTGATAAGGTTGATATGCTTCTAGACGTTAGCGCCTCGGAGGTATCTTTGCTACAAACCATCTTACTTCCCTTGGACTTGCAGCTTGTCCAACGGTTGTTAGTAACTCGGATGAAGGAATAACGAATAATCCACGGATTCTAAATTTTCTACCTCTCAGTATATAGCACTTTGGTGCCATGCCTCGTTGATTTGTCTACCATGAAAGCCAAACAAGGGTAGTATCGAAGCGATACACGTCAATCTTCATTGGTAATCACTCGTTACCACAAAACAGGGCAAACACACAATGCGGTAACCCGACATCCATCCATCTCTCAGGAGACCCAGATTGGTCCTGCCTTGTTTCTCGGCACTACCCGCGGTGACAGGTTGGCTAGGCGTATGCGGGTTTCCCGACTCATGCCCCCTCTAGAATGCCTGAATCTAGATTGACCCGTTTGACGCCAGGGTTGCCAGGAATACCGGTATGGTATCTCTAGCACGAGTATTTGTGTGCCCCATTTTACTTCCCGGTGAACCTTTGGGTGGTGCTCCCCCCTTGAGGTTTGCCCTCCGTGGGATAGGAGGGCTTAGGCACTTTTCCAGGCGGTTTTCTAAGAGAACAAGTCTCTTCTTAAGATATATTAAATGTTCATGAACCGAACTTCTTGGGTTGGTTATCCATAAATTCGCGCAAAAGAGTCTTGTGATGGAGCCCTTTACCCCGAAGGCAATTGGAAGAGAGATATGAACTTTTCGTGACATTATTAGGTCTAGTGGTCCAAACCGAAGCTCACACGAACGAATGAGAAACTTCTGGAGCTGCGCAGGTGGCCCCACTCGGCTGACAAGGCGTATATCTACGGTATACTATGGAATATTATATCTCTTGAAGACTCAATGATTTCTCTGGGGCTTGAGTGGTACTGTACTCCAAGTTACCTTAGTGCTCGAGTGAGTTCCCATGACACTTCATTCCCCGTAGATGGACCTAGTTGGCACTGGTGGACCTAGGCAACCCGAAAACTCTAACATGATGGAGCTTTGCTAGAATGCAAAGAGAGCTTACTATGTAATCTACCTAGTTCTTAATCTTACCTCATGCTACTTGGCCTAGGTTATTTGAGAACCGGTTTGCGCCCCATTCCTGCAACTGTTGATGCCTTAGGGCGTGAAAGGCGAAACCCGGGAAGCAGTTATAAGTGGACGCCTTGATTCCTATACTTGATTTCTGAACGGCGTGCATCCGTGATCCACAGAGAAGCAAACAAGTGCAATACGTCTTGTGAGTCGGTGAGCGCATAGCTCCCACCCTCACACTCTTGCAAAAGCAAACACGGGATCCCTTTATCTGGGGGACTATTCGGATCGAATCACAAAACACCAAAACAAACGCCCATTCATAGAAGAGGGTGCGAGAGAAGTCGGGATTCTTGGCCCATGGAATGGGGACATCACAATTAGTGCGGGATGTGGGGTATGGTGCAACTTTGAAAAAGATAGAAGTTCCTTCCTTACGCTCTCTCTCCATCACCTCCAGTTCCTCGGGTGGATGAGCCAGGATGGAAAATCTCACTGCGATAAGCGGTAACCCTCATTTATTAGAGTGCGGGGAAGGAAACTCTTGCTGCCGGACGATCATTCTTTGCTCACCGGTATGTTTGACAATTATTTCATGTAACGTTTGACCGCATGGCACGTGCAGAGAACTCGTGCGGCTCTGCTGCTGCAGCACGAATATTCGAGTACACCGTCGTGGTGTTGAAGAGGGGGGGTAAGATTCACTGTCTGCACGCCATCCCATACCCAGTCGTGCCAGTCTTATCTTGATGCGCTAGGTCCACGCTGAGAGCTGGGTAAATTGGAAGTACGGATGCGGTACTGGTACGAGGACGGTTAAGTGCGTGCGTTGGCCTTTGAGTTAATCTGTCACGACTGACAACAATGTAGGCTAACTTAATCATAATACCATAGAAGTAACGGAAGGGGATCACAAGCTAGAGTTCGTCTCATATATCGATCTATTAATGGTATTGGCATTGTTCCTACAGGATCCTGCTTCGTCCTTACCATTTGTACGGTACAAGTATCGTGGGGGGAAAGTATCCCGTGAGCGTTGATGTTCATAGGATAGCGTGGAGGTTAGCGGTCGGATTAGGCCAGTAAGTGGGGGGATGCTCGGTCGGGATGAGCGCAGGTGGAAGTTCGGCAAAAAGGTTCCTGGATGCCTGTTACAGGGGCATCATAGGGGGAGTGATATGGTCGTTGCTACTTTCAAAATTCGGGGACCGACCAAGAGGAAGCTTTTGGGTTCGGCTGGTTTAAAGCCTTTCCGGTGCCGGTATACGAGTACAGTACTCGAGTACTGTCATAAGCTGCTTTCACTGTGAAATAGCGATTCTAGGTGGTTCTGGGATGGAATGCCTGGGAGCGGGGCCAGTACGAGTATTTGGAACTGGGTAGGATAGGAGGGTAGACTACCGGTAGTCTGTACTGTAAGTGCTCATGATGTGGTATTATGATGATATCTATCCGCTATCGCCCCAAGAACCCCGCCCCAAGTTTTTCCATATCCCCGCACATCCGCCCTGAGTTGCGATGTGCCGTACCTTGCTTAGATCCAAGAACCTTTGCTCCACAGTTGCTTTTGTTTGGACAGTGTGTGCTGGACAAGCAATCCGAGTTACAATTCAGTATTGCCTGACGTAAACAAGAGTTTATGTGACATCCGGGCACACCTGGCAGGCTGTGTGTGCCTGGGTAAATAGATTGCCAAAAACTTCATCTATAGTGGTACCGTACTCGTACATCCTCCTTGCCTTCTGGATTTAGCGCATACCTGCCGTACCCCCCGCCCCTCTCCTTCCTCTGTTTTCTCCTCTTGGGAGAGCCCTTTCTTCACCCACGAGAAATTCTTATTACTTCACCTTCCGATCCGTGATATCGGTAGCACCTAGAGTGAGTACTTGTGCTGTGCTGTGCACTGCAGTATTATATCACCCTCGTACCTCATCCACCTTCAGACAGCCCGTATTTTGTCCCTCCAATCCGCAACAACGGCGAGTTCACAGTAATTTATCGGGCAGCAAAAGATTCAACTCTGCGGACATCGAGTAAAACCTGTTGGAGGGAGAAAGTTACATTACGCGGGAAGGGGCATTTGGAAGCCCATCACCGGCGTGGGGCAATAGCAGTGGAAGGGAGGAAGATCAAGCGAACAGAACGAGGGTGCTACCGAAGCAAACCAGCGGGTGGACGAACCAACAACATCTTCCTAGTTTCATTTTCCCCTTTACCAACCCCACCTGCAACCCTCATTGAACGACGGAGCTTAATTCTCTCCTTTATAATCATTATCTTTCACTTTATTTTTTTGCTTCCATATACAGGTATTTGGAGGAACCTTTTTTTGTTTTTCTAGATTCACGGTACAGTCAGTACGGTATTTGATCTTCTGCCTTTTCCCAGGCCAACAGGAATCCAGGAGTGAGCCAGGAGCAGCGGCCAGGAGTGCGCTGCCTACTTTGCTGTACCTAGTACAGTGCCAGCAACAAAGAAAAACTCCTCGATAAGGCCTTCTCCTATTTGACCGCTTGTGCGATAGATTGGTGGGACACGGGGATCTCGTGTTTTTTTCCAGCAGGTGTGTAAAACTACGTGCGTGGTCTTTATCAACCCATCAACCCCCGGGCTCGGGCTAGCGACCGTTTATTTTTCTCTCTCACCGATCTTAGAGATCGAGGGAATGTATTGGGTCGTGGATTTTGCTCCAACGATTCATCTGCCCTAGTTTTTTCTCCCCTTTTCTGTGCGCTTCTGCGCTCTCCGGGTCGATTTTGAATCCTCACCAACCTTACCCCCCAGTCCGTTCTTCATCACCGCCATGTCTCCGCGAGCTGCGCTGACCTAGTTTTTTTCTTCTTTACAACCAGCTTTGCTATTGCCGGGAAAGAAAAAAACGAAGCCCCTCGGCCTTTGGACATGAAGCCCTCCTCATCAACCTCTTCGTCAAAGTACCGCGTCCATTCTCCATCGGATACAGTGCCCCGCTCTCATTCGGCACGGAGCAGGGGATCGGGCTCGAGAAATATAGGGGTATGCTTGCTTATCTCTCTCACCTCCCCACTATTCTCTCGATTTGTGCTTTTTGTTCTATCATGTACCCTCTGCCCTATCGCCTGAACCTCGACTGCCACGGTGGGAGCGGCACGATCGCTCCCGCCGTTGCACAAGAGCTATCTGGATGAAGCAGGCCGGAAGTGAGATAGTGGAGTTCTAAAGAAAGTTTTCGGTTTGTTCTAGGACCCACGAGACCAGCAAGTAGCTACTTACTCACCTTCGAGTACTCCCGCATCGGATTATAATTTATACGACGCTCGGGGGTATCCCGTTCAGCCTTATTTGGAGCACCACCCTTCATATCCGAGCCTTCACTCATACCCGCCTCCACCTCCGCATAGCCATGGGGTCCTTCCTCCTCACCAACACCCCTCATACCCAACCTCTCACCCCGTGCAACCCCAGGCGTATCACCCCACGTACCCGAGCTATGACTCACAACAAGCGCCTCTGGCCCACCCACAGCACCCGTCGTATTCCAGCTCTCAATCCCTAACCCCATATTCGAGTGGCAATTCGCATGCCCAATCTTCCCACTCCCACCATCCTTCGCATGATAGCGACCTGTCTCAATATTCGCTTTCGGGTTACAAACTTAGATACCGGATCGAACAGGAGGGTCAAAATCTAGTGGTTTTACCATCAGAGGATGATCACCCTTCCTCTTCATCCTCATCCCGGTCTTCTATGCCCATATCTGTCTCCCCATCACCCTCGCCTCCACTACAGCTATGTCTTCCGGCTGCCGCTGTTCCTCAACATAATGTTCGGGCAATTAGGGCACCTCCCCGCGAATGGCCGCCCATTCGTTACCAGACGGAACTTTCCGCGACAGAGGCTAAGAAATTCATCGGCGATGGAGCTCCTAAGTTTTGTGGAGAGTTGCGAGAGATTACAAACGGTCCAAGGGGTTATTACTATCTCTTCGCATTTGCCGGGGATGAGTGGGATGAGGAGTCAGACACTGCTCTTTTCCAGAGTGATTCGTTTTGTGATATGAGCTCTAGTCCAGAGGGCAGGCAAACTGATGCCCTGGAGCGGCCAGCTATGGCACACGCATTTGGGATATACCCGGGAACTATAACACTATCTTGCTATGTTACTAGTTTCGGTAGCACCCTGCAGGGACACGAAGTGGCTGCACGAGGGAAGGTTCGGAAGCTAACAATGTTATATGTTCTTGACCGATTACGGATTTTACAGGTGAAGGGGATCGAGGAGGACCTTGGGCAGCTTCACATGCACCTTTACGACTACTTGCTCCACGATACTCATAGATATGATTCAAAAAACCATGTATCTCTCGACAACCAGATTTCAGACCTCGTTGCAGCTTTGTGCCGGCCCAGCTGGGTAAATTTCTCGAGTTCCGAAAACCAGACTATTGCGCGATTTCTGTCAGATCCTAACCCGGGCGTCGCCAATAGCTTTTTCCACCAGCTACTACTTTCCATAGAATTGTACCTAAGAATCAATGCTAGGCATCAAACTAACTTGGCTGCGAAGCCACTGCCGGATATGCCAGAGAAGATTAGATGGGATTTAATGCTTGCCCAGCGATGGCTCGAAAATGTGGAGGTAGAGGCACCGAAAAAGGTCAAAGACGGTAAGGGGAAGCGAGAACAGAAGTCCAGCGTTGGGTTCAAATTTCCGCACAAAAAGACCCAGGTCGAAGCCTTACGGAACTTTGCATGGACTTTGAAGTGAGTCTCAGAATATTTTCTTGATAAAACTGTTTACCATCTACGTCTCATTGGCGGTTGGGCCATAGGAACCCTTCCCTCATTCAAATCCGCAGATCTTTGCTCCCTCCATCAACAGCTTTTCCGGTTCCGACCGGGCTATTTATTCGGTTCCCCAATCTTCCAATTTTCCCGCTTTGCCATTGAAGCTAGTAGCCAGTGCTAATAATGTAGGTGGCCGAACATGCATGAAGTTGAATATACACTTTCAGAGGGTGAAGATCCCAACGAGGTTCTCGAAGATAGGAGCATCAATTGTATGTCCTGGTTCACCGGCTTGCTTCTCCCAGGCAAGTCCATGCCATGGATTCTGATGAATGCCCTCACGGATTGCGATCCGGATGTGCCCGAAACGTTCCATAATCTTTCGCAGACGACACCTAATGTCGGATTTCAGTACAGGGGCCACACTTATTGGTCGTGGGAGTGCATAGTCGGCAAGGTTTTGGGGGCAGCCGCAGGTGTGGCACAAATCGCTGGTTGGATTGGTCCATGTTCTGCATCGGCCGATCTTAGTCGCTCGGAAATGGCTATCATCAATCAGATGCCTCCACGAGGGAATAAAATCACGCCAAGCAACGTTCGAGGCATGGCCCTAAATAGTGATCCTTTAGGTGCATGCCAGACAACATATCCTGTCGACGACTATGTACTCCTCACTCCAAGCACCGATGACCCGGTGGAAGACATCAGGATCGAGCGTCTAAATTTCTCACCAGCAGCAAGTAGCCCGAAAAAAGGAGTGCCCCGCATTACAGAGAATGGTCATCAAGCTGCGGAGGAGAGCCCCGTCTTGACGTTTGACGCATCAATCACCTTTGCGATTACCGTGGAACGTCGAACGAGGTCATGGAAGGTGTCTTTACGACATAACACTCCGTTCATCGCGGCTTATCCGTGTCAAAACGGGCCACACGTCTTGTTTTGCGAGTACCAACACCGGGTTATATACGCGGATAAATTGGTGGAAATCCAGAACTGGGGACCTTCAGGCGGCGTGGAGGATTCAGAAGTCGATGACGAGGGCGGGCAGCCTGAGAACACTTCTACCGGAGTAGAGGAAGTGTTGGTTGTCGAAGCCTTCGGAGTGCCCGACAACGAAGTCTTCGTTAGGGCTTGGTGCTCATTCTGGGGATTGCCTGCGATTACTGCTGATGTTAACAAGACATGTATGGCTTGCGCGATACGGGAAGCCTACGCAGCCCTCGTAAGTGTTGTAATACTCACCAATAAATCAAGTATCTCTGTGGAAGTAGAGGAGGTGGATAGGTTGATGGAGAACCTCCAAGTCTGAGTCTTGAATCTTTCAGAAATTCACGGGTTTTTTCATTTTCATTCTTCTATTCTTTTTATATTTCCCTTTTTTTTATACCTCTATTTATTTAGTCGATTTATGTGGGTTGGGTGGGTTCTAGCATTGCTGGGCGTGGGTGATTACGATAAAGAACACATGCATGGAGAACTGTATGTCTAGTGTGTTTATGGCGATGATGTTTATGTATTCGTTTCTCTTTAATAGCATGAACGGGGCTTCCTCGCCCCCAAGCTCAGCACACGCACACAAGGCTATGAGAAAAGAAATTGTAAAAGCGAAATTACGATACGGTACCGGTATTGAGGATTTTCCTGCGATAAGCTTGGTCGTTACCGGCTGTCTACTTTTGGAACTGATATGGGATTCGTGTAATCTTTGCTAGAACTGCCGTAAGGTGTGCGCCTTGTGCTTTTAGGAGAAAAAAAAGAAGGAAAGGAAAAGCTGGTCAGGGAATTTACTGGTGTAAGATGGATCACGGGACACTGATCACATAAGCTACCAAGCTGCAGTCTACGAGAAAAGGAATAGTATCGCATTTCTGGGCGTGGCGGCTCTCCGGGAACGGTAGGACATTAGCCCAAGCTCGGTGGCTCACTACCGCAGTGTCCGCTTCCCCAGGGGTTCTTGGGTCAATTGAATTCTGTGGAGCTAGGAGAAGCAGCGAGGTTTCCGCTGTAGACTTTCTGGCTCCCTGGGCGTAGCCGGTGTTCCGCCATACTAGGCAGGGCGATACTGCTCCAGTCTATCATATTAAACCTAGTTAGGAAATTGGCTTCCCCACCTTTCACGAACTTGATTTTGGATGCTGTTTTATAGGGGATAGACTGCTGCGCCTATGGAGTCATCAAAGATCATCCAGTGTCCGTACCTGTAACTTTCGTTGATTTGGAATTTCTGCGGGATTCTTAACTCCTAGATTCCTGTATAATCCAAGATGGCTTGCCGGTGCATAACGACCAGTTACGTCGATGACTTTCGTGACATGACTTATCTCATAGGTCTCTGTCCCGTATCTATAGACCCCTCTGTACTGTACTCGTAGGAGAAGGTTGTTGGTATCATAGGCTGGTATGATATCATAGTTAATACCATTACTGGGGTACCAACCGATCAAGTTTACTGAATCAACTAGCTAACCTGTACTCAATCCGGCATGGCAATCCTCGGCGCGGACCACCCTGTAGCAACAGGCCTAGCCAAGGTGCAGACGGACATCGGAAAGAAGAGGGACTATCGTAGTCCTCTAATGCAGTTTGTTTTGTCCATCTGGTGTCCCCTTTCCTACCTACTAACGAATATCAATAGTCCAAATAGTTTGGGATCTTCCCACCCCCACTGATACGTCCAAGCGAGCCCGTATGATACCAACAGCCCGTTCCCCTCCAATAAATCAACCGGCCTGGGCTCTCCCCAGCAACAACCACATATTACTTAGTTAATCTCTATATTATTACACAGCAGTCCGGAAAACGGACAAGGAAAGTGTCCGGAGAGGATTTTGTGTGTGCCAAGATAATCTTATAGAATAGGTATGATGAGGAAAAAACACTGGGGAATTTTGTGTGCCAAGTATTACCTGGGTAAGAGTGGTATTTAACTTACTAGTGGTAAGAGAAGAATAGACTGGACCAACACTCACAACTGACTTAGTGTGCGAACTGCTGTAACTTGGGCCTATGGGTACATATATGTTCTAGCTGTCTGAGTCGTAGTATCACTGAAGGGTAAAATTTAGTGTTTTTCTCTTACTCTTACTTTATGGGAAAATGTATCATACTGTGCTCGAAGGTTAAGTTACTATCATGATGCGTTATTATGTGAAGAGGATCAATCACTACATACCCTCAGATATGATACCAAAATGCTCTTCCAATATCTATTGATATTTTCTTTACTTTAAACCCTTTTACTATTGATTTTATGTTAAGTCGCTTGATAGCTCTGTTATAGTAATTATTAGGTACTTATCCTATTTTGTTAGTTTCCCCCAAGCTGGTAGATCTGGAGAAATTTGTCCTTCGTTTCAATTATTTCCCACCCTATTACGTCTTCGATTGGCAATATATCAGCCTCTATTAATCTGTTGACTTATACCCTGCTGTACACAGGGGCGGCCACTTGTAGTTCCAAACTATCCTACGACCCCACCGTCATCTGCGAATTCCCCGAAGAAGCTCTCCACACACCAGCACTCCTTCCGAAGGACGCCTAAGATCACGCGCACGTTAGACCTTGGATAGATTTACTTTCTTCCCGTATCGTACAGGATTTTCAGAAGTATGGTACTTGCAGCTCCTACGGCGACAGACATGGAGGGCGTGGAGAAGAGGGCGGGGTTGGATTCTGGATGGGTTTAAAGGGCAGTTTTGTATTCTGGGGGAGGAGGGGTGCGGGGGATTGCGGAAGAAGTGGGGAGTCTTGGGTTAAGAGTCTGGAGGATATTAAGCCCCTCTGGGAGACTAGGAGAGGGAGTTGATGAAGGCGTTGTATAGGAAGTATAATAGTGGGTAACTTCCATGATGCTCTGGTTTTCCATAGGCGGTGGGATAGCCGAAATCGGGCCGCGTTTTCGGGAGAGGGTTTGACAGCGGTTATTGTTGTGCCCGGCTCGGCTCCCGTTGTCGGGGTGGTACTGTACTCGTACAACATTACTATGGTGGTTGTGCTAATCATACCGCTGCGCAGAGCAAGGCGGCGAAGGCTTTGCCCTTAGTGCTGGAAGGGCAATTTTTTAGAGCCTCTGACATTATCGGTATGCTCACTGCCTAAGAGCCTTATGACACGTTGAGTCACTTGTGAAACCGAATAGGTGGTTGAGAATGACTCGGGGGTTTACGGGGATTGGACGATGGATCCGATGTGTAGTTTGATACATTTCAGCTACATAGGAGTGCAATACAGTGCGAGTACTACACTTCCACCACTACTGGTGTTGCTAGGCCCGGAGTGAAATTTGATTACCGACAGGCTGAACCCGAAGTGCAGATAATCAAAGCTGTGGCGCCATCGCCCGACAGTCTATGATAGCCTAGTTGTATGATACCGAGAACTTTAACCCATCATACGATATCACTCGGTAAACCTAAATCTTGGCATCTGCTCCGCTAAACCCCCACCCCGGGGCAAAAAGCCAGAATATTTAAACGTTCGAGAGTATGATAGTATCACAGTTCCCTGTTCATCCCATCCATGCCCGTGACAGCGAATCACAAACCTAACAATGGCAGTCACCTAGCCCGAGATAGTGACAAAACCTTAACGGGAAACAAAGGGGGCACTCAGCACTCTACTCTATAGAACCAAGATAAGAACAAAGAAGTGCTGCACCGCATATATCCCACTACCACCCCCACTGATACTACGTATCATACTGTATTTCCTCTCAGATGAGTTGCTACCTACCTAACAAACAACAACGACCCGAATCGACGGGGTTTTTATCGTAAGATATTCTCATCTCCAACACGTCCACTCCAAACCCACATCAATCAATTAGTCGGCGAATATCACCTACAAAGTGGCAATGTCAGAACCCCGTTACAACCTCCGTAGCACACCTGCTCCCACTACCCGTGGCGCAGAAACATTTAAGCTTGTCAGCCGCAGGAAAGCTCCAAAGACGGCACGAGCAAAGGGGGCCAAAGGGGCGACTAAGGAGGCGCTGGCCCAAAAGGAACCTCCAAGGCGCGCGACAAAGGAGAAGATGGAAGTTCGGGTGGTTGTGGTTGCTAAAGCTAAGCAGCCGAAGAGAGGTTCCAGGGCATATAAGATCCCGAAGCTGATGAAGGAATTAAGTTCTGACAATTCCTTGAACCTGCTATCCGATTCTAAAAGTATTTCAAGTGGTGGCGGCCAGGGTGGCGGTTCTAGTGAGGATGGTTCTAGTGGAGAGGATTGGGGGGGGGGGGATGAGGGGAATGAGGATGGGGAGAATGAGGATAAGGATGAGGAGGGTGAGGGTGAGGGTGAGGGTGAGGGTGAGGGTGAGGGTGAGGTTGAGGATGAGGAGGATGGGGGTGGGGATGGGGAGAACGAGGACGAGGGTGAACAAGAGGGGGAGGAGGAAGATGAGCAGGAATATGGACCTCTATTATCTGCGGCTGGGGATGCGATTTTTCGTCTTACACCTACCATTATCAAAGATGCTTTAACGCTTTCTTCGTCCGCTAGGGATGCTGTCCTCAGGCTTGGACGAAAGGACCCTTCCTGGGGGGAAATTATGAGGGGGAGTGGGGGGGCCAAGAAGACCGCTCCTAAGAGACTGGATATCGACCATGTGCCTGTTGATATCAACGTTAAGGGAAGTCCAATTCCTCGGGCTAGTTCGGAAGAGAGTGGCGGTGTGGCTGCGAGGAAAATTCAGGACAGGAGTGGGTATCGAGATGGATTTGGGGGGTGAGTGATCATTGGCTTCTTAACTCCCATTTCTCAGGTAATACAGCGCTGACAGAAACGCCAGAGCACGTTGGGAAGAAGTCGCGCCAGTCCGACGGAATCTCTCCAAGGACCTCTTAGTAGCAAGGACACCTCCAGGAGCTCGGAGGAAGTTAAAGACTAGGCACAAGCGTACAGCAGAAGAAATTACCACGACGAAAAGCAACTTCATACATGCTGTGATCTTCTGGATCCTCCTTTACTTCGCCTCCTCCAACAAGCGAGTTCGTCAAGGCGTCTACGGAACCTTCATCTTACTCACCGAGCACCAAGTCCTCCAAAATATCCTAGAAAGCGCCACATCCGCCCTTCACACCGCCGTTACACCAATCTCGGAAACAGGAATCCAACTATTCACCCCGCAAAAAGCCCTGCTGGAAAGCCGTGTACGAACCTCTTCCGCTGCGGCGGCAGCCGCAAGCCTCGACCTGGAGAAGATCATCCGCGCATCGCAGGCGTTCAACAACCTCGCCCGTCCCATAGTCATTGGGCTGATAGTGGGGGAGCTAGAGGCGGAAGCGAGCGCCCGCTCGCACTGGGCGCCGAACAGCATGCGTGCCAAGATCTACGATCTCTCTGCCGCGTTCGAGGACGCGTTCGAGGACCTCTGCATCCTCACCGAGGCCTTCAAGGGCACCATCCGCCGAGTGCGTGAGCGATACACCCTCCTCGCGAGCATGCTTTGTGATCAGGCATCCGCGGAAATGCTGTCCGGGCTGAGACTCAGCGGGCGCAATCTGCAGATGCTGAAGGCGAGGGGGCAACGCAATAAATACTCGGGTTTCACCGTGCAGGTAAAGTACGAGTTTGCCAGGTCAGCTCTTCTTCGCGAGTTCAACGGGTTGAGGACTCTGTCGAAGAAGGCGCTCAAGTCTTCCTCTATAGCCATGGAGAAGATCCTGGAGGCGCGGAATCCTGACATAATGGTTATTGAGAAGGTTGTTGAGATTGCGGAGCCTTTGGTCGCAGGACTGGAAGCGCTGGATAAGGAGGTTTATAGCGTTGTGATGTTGTTCCTTCATCAGGAGTTTGTGGTTGAAGACTATGGTCGTTGGGTGAATCTTGATGAATTGTTCTTAAAGGAGAAATTAGAAGTTCTGTTTGCTGCTTTAGGGGTGTTGGATGGGCTGGAGAGATTGAGGAGTGCTCCTGAGGAGTAGTTGGCGTTTGCTAAGCTTTTCCTCTGCCTCTTGTTCTACCGTACCTATGGGCTCGAATTAGTGTTTCGTTCCAAGTGTATGATAAGTTGGGCTTGGTTATTTGCGTGGACGATGCTGTGTCTGTTTCGGCATCAAAGCCAAGAAATTGTGGATATAAAAGTAGGCGCTGCCCCTTGATCCACTGTTGAGTTACTCGAGTACGGTATTAGTGCTACATTGTTTTAGTTTTTTTATCTTGCGCAATGCCGTGCGTCATTGAATCTCACTCGACGCCCAAAACAAAAAGCCCGCGTTCCACAGATATCTTAGAGAGACAAATAGGGTAGTTCGCTAGATATTCGGACTCGGATTGAGCCTGACCTTGCAACCCGTATCATAGCTGTAGGTTATCTGAAAAGGAAAACTGAGGGTAATTTGAGACTGTCTTAGATGGAAGCAACTTCGCAACCCAACCTCGGTATATTCCGTCCATTTCCCGGATCTTGATTTGCTGGACGGGCGCTAGCGGAAATGCATAACCTGTACCAATATTCTTCTTTCTTTGAGGGGGGGGGGACGGTGATAAATGTTGCACTTGTACTATATTACTGTGATTCGCGAACGGTAAACACGGTTCGGTACCGCACAGCAGGAGAGCCTAGGCTCACTTGGCACCACTGGATATTATGGGAACTAACTACTATGTACTAGTACAGTATGATAGAGAGCCAGCAAAGGCAAGGAGGGTGCCGCAGAAGGCGAGGGGGCCCTCACGCGGAAAGAGTTCCAACATGTGAACAATCGGCGAACGGCATCTGAGACCCCACTTTCCCGCAATACAGGCGGAATGTCCTGGCTGTAGTCTTGAGTTCTTACAATAATTAACGATAGTGTGGTTGTGACGGTGATTTTCTTGGAAAAACTACGACTAAGGTGCCTAACAAGATTGGATCTTTTCTTTAATCCCAAGTTATATCCTCCCCAGAACTTGACCTCAATTTCTACAATTATTGCAACCATGCCTCGTGGGAGGCCCCCCTGATTCTCCAAACCGACCACATTGACCATCTGACCAGATGCCTGTAATTTTTTTTTTTTTCTGATCCCTAAGAGCAAGCCATTGGAGCCTGAGGATTACTAGGTGATAAGGAAATGTTTCAGTTGCCCCTCCTATAGCAATGAAATATTATCTTTGGGAACTCAGCCTTTGCTAACGACGAATTATACTCGAGTAGTACATCTAGGGCATGAGACGGTACAGGCAGTTGCCTTTGAGCTGTCACGGAGCAAATCAGGCGGATACTGATAGTGTTGTGAAAGGCCCACGCAGGGGCAAACTCGTAACTTAGGCAAAAATCCAGGCAGTTTGTTCGAGTTTATTGTGTGGATGAGAAATGATATAAGAGAGGGTGAGGGAACACAACTTGGTCTCAGCCGGGGACTGCCGCCCAAAGGCACAGCTCCATAATGCGGAATGCTAAATTTTTAATGCGGCTGAAACATTTTATTTTTCGACCAAGAGAAGATGCGGGGGGTGGCTAAGAGGATTTTCCTGTTATGAACTGGACCCCCCACGGTACTGCAGTCCCATCCTTCCCCTATTTTTATTTTATTTTTTTATAACTTTTCCATAGGCTTCATTCGGAATCTTGCAGACTCTGATGTCTTTCTGTTCGAAAGAGCTCACAATACGGTATGTGGGGCTGGGTGGATAACGGACTGACGTTATTTTACTGTAATTTTTGTTTTTATTTTTGAGAGAAATGGTGGAATGTTATTGCCACAAATGGGCTATTAGCCGAATTACCAAGAAAGCGTCGATCGGTGCCCAATCATTTTCCCTCTATGATATCTCACAGAACACTTCCATCTGAGACCTATGACCCCTACCGGGACGAGGCTGAGGACTTGGGGGGGGGGGGTAGCTTTATACTTGTACTACACCACTGCCAATTCTAAAGAAACAGGCTCAGAGCAAGTCTCCCCAGACCACTCCAACTCTCATGTTTTTTTTCGAGATATCATACTTTAGAAGAAGCCTCGAAGAGCCGCCAAAACAAAACTCGCTTCACCTTGGCTATATAAATACGGGCGAAATCACTACTGTCACTCGTATGGAAGATGATTTTTGTTTCGACATAGGACTATAACTCGTATATAACCCTTTCTTCCTAAAGATTAATTGCTGTTTTTCCTTAACTTTCCCTAATTATTTCTCGGGCGTTAATTCACCTATAACAAAATGGCAGGCGTTGAAATCACTATCGAGAGCGTAGGCGATATCACGCCTGGAACAATTTTTCTTGGTCACTCAACTCTTCCGTCCGATTCGCAAACGAAGCGCAGGCCATTTTTGGCACTGTGGAAGGTCGGGAACCAGGTAATATCATTGTGAGTGGGGGTGTCTTCCCTGGTCAAGTCACCAATTCCGGTCTCGACCACTGACTAACACGAACAATTTCGATTGAATAGACCTCTAACCAGTTTAAAAAACGGGGGTGGCAGCGCGCAGGCAGCTGCTGAGAAATTCGGACGCACTGAAGCTAGTTTTTACCCCATAGCTCCGGAAAGCAATCAACCCTATCTCCCAGTCGCCGCAAGAGAGAATTTTCGGGGCTTTATAGATCTCCTAACACCCGTAACCATCGGGCAATCCTCCCTCGGGAGGAAGAAGTCGAAAGCAACCAAAATCTCCAAGGAGGACTTGCGAAACGTTATAATGGCACACGTAGGCCTAGTCCAGTGCGGACAAGAGGAGGCGCTCCTGGCCGGACAAGGGGAACCACCGGAAATGCTCTTGATAGATAAGAGAACACACGATAACATGCGCCAGATGGCTCTGGGCATGCTCCAGTCCAGCGAGGATGGCCTTCTACATGCGAGACGCACCCAAGAAGTTACAAAGAGTCTAGTTGAGGCATTTGATAGACCCCCCGCTGCCAAACTAGTATTACCACGTCTGCAAAATCCTGCTCCTTCCCTGAGTTCCTCTTTTGTGGATCAACCACCTCCTCCTCCTCCTCATCCAAGGCCTCCGCAAGCTGACACGCGTAGACAACCTGGGCAACAGAGTTCAGGCCAGCAACAGCAGCAACAGCAACCCCAACAACCTCTGAATAGCCAGTCTGGACCAGCCAGTTGCAGGCCCCGCGCCCCCCCCGGAGGCCCGAGGAATTCTGATGATGGTGGCGGTGATGATGGGTCTTCTGGAATCCGCCGCCCCTGGGGTTCTTACAGTTTCTACACCGCACCAACCGGGACTGGGAAACGCAACAGAACCACAACCCGCGGGTCCGGGTCGAGCGGAACCCAAGGAGTACAGCATCAAAAAGAGCATCAGCAAGAAGAGTGCCAGCAAGAGGAGGAGCATCATCATGACAAGGATAGCAACAATGAGGAGGACGAGATTGTTGAATGGACCAGAGACGACTGGGAATGGGTGGAAAAGCAGCCCGGCGAAGACTCCGACTCCACCTCCTCGATCTCTGAATGGGACTTGGCCGATTGGGAGAAGCTTGAGGGTATAATTCCTGGAAACACTCCAACGGAGAAATGCGGCCAATGCCACACCACTGCAACAGCCTCTCCTGGAGATGTTAACCGGACACCCACTTGTCAATCCACATACTCACTCTCGGAGCGCGATCAAAGCGATTGTAACAGTGAAGCACCTCAAGGTAAAAAAACCGTAACCCCCCACCCACTCCTCAACCCTCCACTCCAAGAGGGCCAAGAAGAACCACCATCTAAGGACACGAGCGATGAGCATGACAGAAGATCCAACAAATCTAGTCCCGATCAATACCAACAACACCAGCGTAACTTCCTCCCCGCCTCATTCTCAACCCAACCACAATGGGCTCAGTCCCAATTTACAAACTTCACCCACGCCCTCCGGAGAATCACAGCGCGCGTACAGCCCCAGCAAGAAGCTACCTCTCTCCCCCCAGCCGGCAGCAGCACCGGCAGCAGCACCGGCAGCGAAGGCGAGGACACCCATCCTCCTGGCATCACCCCCCGGGGTGTCGCAACCACACAAGCTACGCAAACCACACCAGAGCAAGACCCCACGATGGAATTCGGAATTGCTAGTCCGGAAACTAGCGATATTCCAGCGGTTGGACCGAGCGAGCCTGCGGATGCGCGGGGGGAGTGGGCCGCGCTCTTAGAATCCCATCCGAACTCCGCGGCCGTGGAGAAGGGGAGGGGGGAGGTGGAGGGGAACAAACAGAAGGTAGTAGAAGAGGAATATAAGAAGGTATACCAAGAACTACAAAGAATACTATCGAATGCCTGTAGATCCTGGCTCCGGACGTTGGGCGCGTCTGAGGACTCGTTCAGAGCCCTACAGCCCAAGGACGAGGTGTCCTTTGGGGCTTACAGGAGTTCCTTCAGCCCTCTAATATCGGAGGATTCAGCGCAGGAGGATAACTCAATTGGCAGGTTTTTGGCGGCGCTCGATAGGGGTCAGTCTTTGCAGGAGGATATTGCGGCGGAGATGGCGGCAGCCGGTGGGCAACTTAGTGGGGGGCTGTTGATGGAATATGTTGATGTTGCCCGCGAGATATGTCAGCCGCATGATGACAGCAACAGGGAGATTGATGAGTTGTGTTCTCGGGCCGAGATAGCCCTCGGGAGTGGTAGTTCTGCTACTGCTGCCGCTACTGCTGAGAGTAGTAATTGACGATCCCGTCTGTAGTTTTTTTCCTAGTTTTTCTCTTTCTTTTATCGTCATGGTCTACTCCTTTAAACCCTCGATCCTATGATTCTCCATGATTTAACGACTTCACGATAACTTATGTTTCCGTTCTTCTCTCTTGTTACGAACCTCCACGATGTCACTGGATCAGTGCATTATCCTACTATCACGCACTTTTTTCTTCTTTTTCCCCCCAAGTTATAGATCAGGATTTATGCTTGTACTTTCTATTCCTTGATCACTACTCCCTAAAGCTACGCGCCATAGATACCGTACCCGGATGCACAGAAGTGATTATTACATCCGAAAGCCCTTTCTATAGCCCCTTAAATAACACTCCACCGTTTCACCCTTACTGAAGCCGTCGAGTGACCCCTCATGACCCACCTTACCTCTCACACAAATGAAAGGATTAATCTCAAAAAATACAGGGAGCTATCTTACCTGTACTAGGCAACCCCACCCGCGTCACTCGCTCCCTCGAGTGAAACGACGACCAGCAACATGTTTGCCTTTACTGGAGGGGCATTTTTCGCCGCCTTAGTCACAATCCCACTCCTCACAAATCTCCCTCACACACACTCTGTTCTCAGACTGGGGTTGGCTTGGCATTTAAACATCACCTGGGCCCGGGGGTTTGTGCAAGACGCGAGTGGACCAGAAACGCACTCGAGCAGCTAGCTTGGAGGGGGGGAGGTGAGCCCACGTGGTGTTAAATCTTTGAGTATGATAGTGCCGCACCCGGCTGCTGGGCTTGTCCCCAAAAATCGGAAAACATAGCCCTTATCTCCATCGAGATCTCTATGGGATCAGCAGGAAATAGTTTTCCGAATCTTTTTTTTTTTTTTCTGACACACTTCAGCGCTGTATTAGTAGTGAGCCAGTAGTCTCTATCTTGCGGGTCTGCGAAGAAATTCAGTCGGGGGGTGGAGAGAAGGTGGTGAGGAGTTTTTGTGGGATGAGGCGGGCCTTAGGACCTTCTAGTATCGGTAATAACTTCCAAGCCTTTCACTTTGAGCTCCCCGCGTCGACTCGAGACCGAGTTCCCCCCACCTCTCCTCCCCGTTTACCATGAAACTGCAGCCTGTTCCTCAAATCGTTGATCTGCTTTTTCCAACCCCCCCCCCCCTAAAAAACAAAATCCACCAGTACTCGAGCGCAGTGCTGTAATCCCTCATGGACTTTTCCCAATCGCGTATTCTGACGTAATCCCCGGCGACCCCGGGAGGGCAAGTACTGCACGATCGGCACTCCCGCAAAGATATAAAAATCGCCATTCAGTGTCACAGTCGAGAAAACATACCCTACACAGATGCAATATGGAACTATTCGTATTTGTCCTCTTGCGCCTCTTGCACCTCTCACCCCTTTCTGTTCAGCAGGCCTTCCGCTATTTCCGGAGTTCACTATACCGGTATTTCTCTAAACGCGGATGGGGGGGAACGTAGAGTATTCCTTTTTCCCCAGACCCAAGTCGCAGAAAGTATATTGTCCAAGAAGCATGGCTTAACAGGGGATTATTGAAAATGAGGAGGGGGGTTGATCTCTAGAGCCTTTCTATTTATCATATTCTACTGGTAGGATTTTTTTGTTCTACAGTGATATCCGGAGCCTAGCTCCCTCCAAACCACCACACAAACGCCCTATAACACCATATCAGCTCACATGGCCCATACTGCCCTCCTCTAGAGGTAGGCCGAAACACATGGATATAAGATCTCTAGCGATTTCACCAGCTGCACCACGAATCCAACAGGTTTCAAGCATTAAGGCAACTGCTTTCCAACCAATAAGGGAGACCGCAGCATCGCCAAAGAAAAGTGACATTTTAGTAACAGGTAGTAAGTTATAGCCTCATCTGGAATTTGAGCGATCAAGTCCACTGGGGACTATTCCAATTGGTATCCCAGTAAGCGACAGCGCTTTCCCGGAGCCGCCCCAGCTTTGTGAAGGGAACGAAATAACCAATCGATTGATCAATGCCATAGACTAATTCACAAAGTGGAATTGTTCGTAAAGGGGGTATGCTCTTTGTGTAGTGAATTCCTTTGTCAAGAAGGAACTGACTGTTAAAAAAATTGGGAATACTCGAGCTATATGCTACGAGTGCGGCTGGTACAGTAGGTAAATAAGTCACGTGGGTCTGACGAGAAAAATTGTCAGCCTTCTCCGCAAAGTATGATATATCTGGATAAGGCACGTGACCATCCTCCACGCTTGAACCTCGCACAGCTATCCAACTTCAACCATCCGCGCGAGTGAAGTCCATGTATTCCCTACTCTAGGAAGTGCGCGAGGTAGAGAGGGAGCACAGCGAAGAAAAAAAAGAGAGCTCCCAAGCCCCCTTCCCCCGCCGAGAGGCAACCCCCCCCCCACCCCAAGACCAGACCTCTACCAGAGGAGGCTGTCCTAACGACATATCATGATAGCACTTTTCTCGATTATCATTCCAGTTTTTACGGTATCATATATAAGGTAATAGGGATGATATGAATTTCGGAAGACTAAAGACTCTGCGTCAAATTTCTAACGAAAAGTGACAATTCCGGATGTAACCAAGGCCGTAACCCCCAGCAGTTTATTTCCAGTACCGATATTATGATACTCCCAAAGGAGGGGTAAGCTAACCTTTTTAGGGGGGACATTATTGTCTTGGTTACATTCGCTTTTTTCGCTACTCGTAGAAATTTGGCGCGCGGAGTTTGGGCTCCTGTAACTACATCACTTATTTTCTTGAGCGATGTGAGTCTCAAAGCCCTACAGGGGCCCGAGGGTCTCAATGGTGAGTGAGCGTGAGGTGCGGATACTATATACTGTACTTTCGGGAAACGCAAGTATATCCCGACCCCAAAATTGTGTTGCATTTCAGAGGAACAGTTGCAATGGGGGTGGGGGGTATCAGTAATCGGGGAGGAAAGGCCGACATGGCGGCGCTGGGGAAGCGTTTTGAGCCTCACGTATTCCAGCTGGACAAGGGGGAGAATGTTCACCGTCCCATCCCCCGACACTACTAACAAGCCGTATATAGAAGAGCGTTGCGAATATCACGATATTCATCCTCAAATCCTATCGTAAAAAACCCGTCAAGGGCAATCGCACCTAGCCTCCACGTCGGACTTCGCGAGTTCGCCGGCCGCCGGCTCAATCGAACAGACAAGTGGCGATTGCCGGGGGTGGACTTACCAATGGAGTGATATGCTATGATCCCAAGAAAATGCTCGTGCAATGCCAGGATGTCAGGATACAGCCTCACCGCTGGAGGGGGGGGGGCTTGCGTGCACAGTTCTTCCCGAGGTGGAGAATTCAGGAGCGCCTCGAACGGGTGCGACCAGGTTGGCCGAGGCAGTTTCCCGAAACGGTAACCTTCCCATTCCTCCTTCCCATTTCTCCGTCGTCGACTTGAGGGTTTTCAGAAACTTTTTACCCACCCATTCATTTTATCTAATTGATTCCGGACCCTTGACTTATAAAGCAGGTTCTGTGTGCCAAAGCGTCTGAAATCGACACCTCCCAACTACCAAAGTCAACAGCGAACGGGGCTCCTGACGACGAGAAAAACTCTGGGTAGTCCCCTTTGACCCTATGGAGCCTATTTTTTTAATTTTATATAAAGTGAGTATTAAGTTAGTTGAGATCTGTATATTTTGAGGTTGCACTGAAATTTACGCCAAGTGGCGACCTTTTGTGTGTGTTTACTAAGCAAAGGGAAAAAATAAAAATAAAATTGAAAGGGTCGGCCTTTGGCATTCAACACTCGGCATTCGGCATTACCACTACCATAATATTATTATGTACGATATCAAACAGCGCTTCTGGCGAGAATAATAAACCGGATAGTCCCCGCAAGCAATCGGTAAGTCCGAGACATCAAAAACGTGAGGTTAGAAATCGGCTCGCAAAGTCTCGATTATCCAGGAACTTGTTTCCCGAGCCCCAAAGGCTTTTTGAGAAGTGGTGGACTGGGGATATATATGATATCACGTTCGATATTCACCGTTACAGCCTGTAGGTACTATACATAACCCGGTGCTCGCCACCGCAATACCTGAGATTTCCAATATCATATGATGCCATTGTATGAAGTCCAGGCTTGCCACCGCATCCTTCCTTTGGTTTATGATATGCCCGAGAGGGAGGATGAGGGTGGGGAAGGAGCCAACGCATAACCTCGCATGAAAAGCTCGCCCCGCCAGAGGGCACTTTATGCTTCTTATGCACTCATCCTTCCTCGAGGCTCCAGTTCTCCACCCCCGGAGAGGAATCGATTTGGAAACCTAGGGGGAGGAGCAAAAAGACCTGTCGGGACCGCGACAGCATACTACAGTATTAGGGCATGGCTCTAGTGGTAGGAGTGACTCGCTCTGTCGTTTTTTTCATTTTCTCTAGAGGTCGGGAAAGGTAAATTGAAGGGAAAGAAGCTAAGTAAGGAAGGACTAGATTTCACGTTTTGTTTAGGGTGTCGTCTCGTGTGGAGGAGGGGGGGGTAAATACGCCCAAGATTTGGTATATATACGTGCCCCATCCAAAACGTGCACAAGGAATAATGAGATAGAATCGATCGAAAGATTGCAGCCGGCTGCACATTCCGAGCCATTTGGCACGAACCATATGACAGGGACTATTTCCAATGGAGTATCTATCCATGCTAGGGTCCGAGGGGCTTTTTTCTTCCCCCCCTTCCTTCTCTGACTGCGAAACCCTGTCACCTAGGCAGATATAGACACACAACTCATCAGCGGATACGCTTGGCGTGCGGAAAACCTTCCTATTCACCATACACATGTGTGATAATATGATACCTATGGAAAATACGAATAGGCAGATAATCCAATACGAACAGAAGCACAGCCCTTCATTCCTTCCTTCCTTGCTCCGCTTCTATGATACGTAGAAAACAAAAGCGATACAAAAAAAAAAAAAGAACAATCCATCCCCTCACCCGCCCAGCCATCCTTACAAAGTTATCATACCCCTACAAAACAGAAAAGCACTTCGTCATGCTAGATCACTCGATTCCTATCGCAAGCTACACTGGGCTGGAGCGACAAAGAGGATTAATTCTTGAAACTAGTTTTTTCCGAGTGATCCCGGTAGACCGTCCCTATATATTGCGGAGAGAACCAAACCTCAAAGGCATTTAAAGATCCGCTTGATCTATTTGCATTCCAATTCATCCCGTTCCATCCACCCTATTATTCAATTCCGGACATTCACACTTTGGAAAGTCGGCCAGCGGACTTTTCATAAACCATTTGCTTTGACACCGAATCGTATTGCCAAAGAAAAGAAAGAAAGAAAGAAAGAAAACCTCTTAATGTAAAGCTTGTACTGTACTGCACAACAGGTCCTAGCTTAGTGTAAAAAATCATACTCCTTCCACCAGTGAGACCGCTCCACCTGGGCACTGTACCTGTTCTCCACCGATACTGTGGACATGATCCTGCCAGAGGCCTATATACAGTCACTCGGCAGAAGTGTTTCTTGAAACCGGTCTCAGATGACTAAGCTGCCTCGCCAAAATGCCACCTTTCAACGAAGTGTAAAGTTGATCATGACCATTCACTCTATTGCGACCGTGACCATTCACAAATCTACACCCACCGAAGCCTCCTTTACCTAATTAATTAATTTATTAATTTCCTCTACCTTTTTTACCAATGGTGAAGCATTCTGGAAATATGAAGTATGCCGCAAAAAAAAGACACTCACCTAAAACCACCTGGAGAGAAATGAGCCTTGCAGAGAAGGGCATGATAATCACCTTTTTCTACTGCCTCTGGAATATTGCACTGGTGGCTCAAATTATTAGATGCCCATGGACAACAGTTAAGAGCTTTCTTGTTCGAGCATGTGAACGCCAATCTCTTGAAAATCTCCCTTGCCCCAGTCGCACCCACATTTTGAGTAGTCAACAGTTTCGCACAATTATACAGGCAGCCAAGTCCAACCAGAAATTAACCAGATGCGCCTTCAGGGTTCGCTATGCACCCAGTGTTTCTCTTGATACTGGTAACTCTTTGTGCTACCCAGAGTGACTGGATATGATTGCCTACTAAATTTGCCTGCATAGTGGGCCAGGTACTCAGAGAAGCAAACATTAAAAAATGGATAGCCAAGTTAAGATCTAGGCTAAAGCCTGATCATGTGGCTAAGAGATTGAGATGGGCTACAGCTCATAGGGACTGGACAGCTGAGGATTTTGAAAGGGTGATTTGGAGTGATGAGTGCAGTGTGGAGAAATCTAAGGATCCAAAGCAACAATGGGTATTCAGAGAACCTGCAGAGAAGTGGTTGGCTGATTGTGTCCACCCAAAGGAGAAGGATAAGGGAATCTTGCTTATTGTTTGGGGGTGCTTTTGGGGTAAAAGAAAAGATCCATTAGTTCTTATTACTCAAACTATTAATAAGACCAGGTATATTAGACTTTTGAGAAGATATCTTTTTCCTGTTATTCATCAAATGATTTCCTTTGGTATACAACTTGAAGATGTTCTTTTTCAGCAAGATAATGCTCCTGTTCACAAGGCATATAGTGTTATGGATTGGTTGGAGAGAAACAGTATTGAGGTTGTGGACCACCCCCCTTATTCTCCTGATTTAAATCCTATTGAGCATGTATGTGTTGAGCTTAAAAAGCGATTGCACCAGCAGTATCCAAGGATTGCAGATACTCCAGGAGGAAAAGAGGCTGTTAGGAGAAGACTTGCACATGTATTACCATTGGTTTGGGAGACAATTCCTGAGGAGTTTTTTGAGAAGTTGTGGAAATCAATGCCTGATAGGATGGCTGCAGTTTTAGAAGCAAGGGGAGGTTATACAAAATATTAGCTAGTTTAATTTATGGCAGGTCAATTGACCGCTGAATGTTGAGAGGTGCCAGTGGTTGTTGATCATGAACTTGAACTCATTTGCACGCACGCCCATTGACAACCTCACCGGCACTGCCCCACCATATGGCGCAACTGCAATTAAACATTGTCTCAGATCAAGAACACTTCTGCCGAGTGAGTGTATATATAACCAAGGATACAGTCCCACGACAAGGAACAAAAGACACCTCCACAAGACTCCAACTTATATACCAAGAACGTACAAGCGGACTCCCAAAGAACCAGAGCATTAAATAATAGCAAGAGAACCCATGCATAAACGGCGTTCAGGCCATTGCGAGAAGAAGGAAGAACGGGGCCCACATACCGTAACACCGGCTAACCTCCAGGAACGATAGATTTGGAGGGGGGAACACCTCTTCCCTCGCAGTTTTCCGAGATCGGTAATTTAGTTGTCGTCGTCACACCACCGATATTCCATTTTTCAGAAATAGAGATCGTATTTTGTATTCTCGTTGTTCTATTGAAGAGGAAGCAAATCAAGTGTGTAGAACAGAAGAAGGGAGAGTTAGGATGAAGTGTGTTAAGGGGAGACGGTGACGCGGCAATTGGCTAACTAGTGTACAGTACATGCAACTATGATTTCCAACACCATTACACCCGTGACTTTCAAGCCACCCATACAAGCACAAGATGCAGCCGATATCGTACAGTGCTCGTACGCGATGCATGAGCGAGAAATCCTACCGTGGTCCATATCAGTCAACCGACCGGGTCGGGAAGCAAGAGGGGGGAGGTATGATAATATGTAAGGGACGGGTTTTTTTTTTTTTTTTTTGTTGGGATACCAAGTTAGGCTCTGGCAACGCCGCCTTCTATCATGTCCTGCCATGTCACAAATATAATACAAGTGCCGTACAATATTTCTCCCCGCCGGGGTATTCCATTCACCTATCGGGATACTATATCAAGAAAGTACTCGTGCTTCCGACTCATCGACGTGCGTAAAACCTAAAAAAGCATGTGCAACTTATAATACTAGGGGGGTCCTTTCCTCTTCCTTTCCCACCTACAGTACCGTACTACCGATATCATAAGAGTGCCAAGGAATGGGATAATCTGGTGCAATGCTCGGTCAAGTCTTGTAAAAATAGCGGCAGATTGTAAGACGTTCCCAATATTCCAGTGCGAGGAGCAATCGTGGAATGATAATAAGTACAAAGTGCCAGGAAAGGATGTTTCGTACGGAAAACGGTGATAATTTGCTGGTTCGCTACGCTACCACTGCCTTGTAGGAAAAAACATCTTGCCTGGCGCCTACCTGTAGGCTGCATAATATGTTAACTAAAATTTCGGTAGTGGGGGTACTGTACTGTACTGTACTGTACAAGTGCAACACACTGAGAAAGATGGCCCCGGTGAGGATGTCTATCTATCTATCCATCTCCTCCCGTCTCGGTCAGCTTTGAACTACCGTAATAATGTATGGATCAGGTGCTTGGCCAATTCAACACATCTATCAAAAAAAAAAAAAAAAAACCAGGCTCTTTCTAAGTATTAGAAGGCTTGTTGTGTTCTCAAAAGAGCCGACTGCGGTGTATACATACGCCACTAATACTGATCAAAATCAACATCAACACCCTAGAGTACAAGTACAGTACTCCATCCCCCCATGCCCGACCCCTGTATCGTAGCAAAATCGGAAATTGTCAGCCCCAAATAGTCGGTCGGTTCCTTACTCAGCCTTGAGATAGGGTGTGTGTAATGACATCTATCCATGTGATAGCAACTACCGTGATCCAATCCTCCACTACCGGTACCACCGCCATCAATTTCACCGAGTTATGCTGAACTACAAACCAAGCTCCAAAAAGCCCTAGCTCAAAGGTACTCCCCGGCATTACGAGTAAAGAAGACACGACCTCCGACAAGTGAACCCCGCCCAATGGGATACAAATGTCAACTCTTTATCCCTACAACTATGATAGACATACTACTGCAACTAGCCAACCAGCTACCGTACATGAACTGCTATCAAGTCTAACTCAGCATTCCCCACCTCACCTCACTTCTTCTTCCCACCAGTCTTATCACCAACAACAACGAACTTGCCCACAACCCCCTTCTTCTCCAGAAACTCCACAACAGCCTTCTTGTGACTCCCTTGGAGCACAATCTCCATGACCGGAGTCTTAGGGCTACTCCCACTCAGCAACCCAACACTCGCGCTCCCAGCGCAAGCCCTCTGTAGCACCTCCGCCGCTCCCTTGGCGTCTATCCCGAACGGCTCCAATCCACTAACCTTCGTCACAGTCTTCTTGCCCTGTCGCGATTCCATTATGATGGAGACTTTCGGCGGCGCACCGGATTTGGGCTTACTCGATTCATCAGCGGAGGGGTGTAGAACGCGATAGTATGGTGAGCAGGCCTTTAAGAGCTTCTCGCCGAGGTAGTCCCGCTTTGTCACGCCGGCTTTGAGCGCTTCCCGGTCCTCGGGGAGGTTCGGGTTCAGGAGGATGTTAGAGATATTAGCATTGATCTTCACTACGCGTTTGTTTGTAGTGCTTATTAGGTTTTCCTTTTCAATATATTTATTCATAATGGCTTTTACCTCAGTGGAGGTGTAGAAGTCTTTTGTCCTGGGCTTTTTATTAGCAGGTACTCCACTTGCGGAGGCTATGTAGGTGGGGGATATACCCTGCCCCCACTTCATAGAATACCGTGGTGGCTTTTCCATTTGGTTTGAAGAGCTCCAGTATCCTTATTGGACTAGGAGCAGTGGATCCACTCGCAGGCCCAGTACTGGTCTCATTCTTGGACTCTTTGGGCGGTACGGGAAGAGCATATGGGGTGAAATCTTTAACGTCGTCGTGGTCCCAATCCACATCCATCACCACTACCTCTCCTCCGTTCCTGGTCTTAACCTTGATATATCCTTCCTTATCTAGCAGTTTCAAGAACTTTGCAGAATTCTTATGGCCAGATTTCTTCATCTGTAGAGACGGATGGGGAGCGGTATTTTGCAGCGGGTTGTGTGGAGGAAAGCTTGATGCTGGCGGGAGATACGGCAGTACGAGTGTAGATATAAACTGCGAGGAAGTGAGTGGGAAACTCAACGAAGTGAATTTTCCGGTGTCGAAATGATCAAACATTCCAAACATTGCTGCCGCATGGAATGCTTCATCAATCTCTAGACATCAATTAGCATCCAGTATCAAATAAACAAAATGAGCAAATGCCACGCAATTCAAACAAAGCAAACCTTTCACTGAAAGCTCCCTTATATCCTCCTGCCCGTCACCCGCATCATTGTTGCCAACCTCCACCTCCTTCCCTTTCCCCTTCCCACCGACATCTTCCAAACTCACCCCACCAACCCCCTCCTCCAAGCACTCAACCTCACCCTCATCACCCAACCGCTCAGGGATTGCCCCTTCACCCCCCAATTTCCAAATCTCATCGCCAACCCAATGCAATACCCTCACCGCCTTCCCCTTCTCCCCAGTAACCGCCTCGAGCGCACTAACATCCACCTCACAAACCCCCACAACCACTGGCACACCCGGTCTCTCCAAACACGCAATCCCTACAATCCTCCCGACCTTCGCCTCCACCGGAAACGGCCCGACGAGTCCTGGAATCATCAAATCCGCACCATCGCACAACCTCTCCATCACCGGTGCGTGCGTATGTACCACCGGCACGATACCGGGGTTCCGCCAGAGGGAGTACACAGTGGGGAACATCCCCTCCGAGCCCATCTTTATCCAAAGCGGGAGTGGAGGCTTATCGCTCGTTAAGTAGATTACCCCGGTGATGGGCTTCAGGTCTGGTCCGTGGGTTGTAGAGATTTTCGCGGAATTGGAGGGGTCGGGGAGGAGGGCATTGCGTAGGGCAATTTCGCCAGCATTGGGGGGCGGTGGGCGGGATACTGCTGCTCCTGCTTCTGCATTCTCGATTGTAGCCTCACCCGATGCCTCCGTATCCGCTGGTGGCGGTGGTGGTGCTGGCGGGGGAGGTGGAGGCGTTAAATTGAAGTCTTTGATGATCTGATTTGCGAGCTTGCGGCGGTCGGTGGATCGAAGGGGGGAGAGCTGTTTAACCTGTCACCAATCAAGACCGTTAGCTCCTCACGATCGCGGGGAGAGGGGGCGGGGTAATTCACATTTGGCTTCTTTTTGAACATTTTCAATCTTATTTTCTATTTTATGTCGTTGTTTGTCTGAAGAATCCTTCGAATTTGGTGATGGATTGAGCGGGGGGGAGGTATGGATCCTCAGTGCTAGAGCTTGCATCATGGCAAAGTAAGGTGGGATGCGGGACGACACGTGACCTGCGTCACCAGAGTAACTTTGTCGTTTGCTGCCAGTGGGTCAGGGTTCGTGAAAGCAAGGATTTAAGGATTGGCCTTGAAAGGGTATCACACCAGTACGAGAAGAAATCGACACAACAGAGGGAGAGACACCCAGATAGACTAGCTAATCTTGCCCACAATACCATTCTCCAAGTAGCCTCGGAGACCCAACATCTTTTCAATCTATCATACAATCAATCTACAAACAAAGGATCCATGGAAAGTCTAGGTTTCAGAGACAATAAGTCTACACACTCGAGCAGAGCACCAATAAATTATCCATAACAAGTGGAATCCCAAACTAAGTTACAGACAGGATTTCTCACACGGCGAGACGCTAGTAGTCCCGTAAAGCCTGATCGTTATCCTCATTCCCTCATCTCGGTATCGGCATCGCAGTTGCCCAAACCACATTCATTACTCCACAGCGCCATACCAAACTCCGCACCACACCAAAACCCACCCAAATAAAAACTCTGAAACGTATAATCCCCCCCTCCCACACTCACAAAAATCACATCCTCTCACTCGCCTCGCAACAACAACCCGAGGCGACCCAACATCATCATCACCATATGGTGCGGTAACCAACGACAACACTTTGTCGGGAAATTCCCAGACTTCACATAGACCGCCAATACTCTACCGTATATATCCCGTCCCGCCCTCAGGCCCTACCACCAATCGCCCGTAGTACGCATACCCTCACACATCAAAACACGAAAGAAACGCTTCGACCCGGTTACTTGCATCGCATCATACGTACTCTTACACCCCTCCACGATCATAGAAATGCGCTAACCTCCGGGACCTCCCAACATAACGCGGTTTTCAATTATGCATCCCGGCCATTCGGTCAACCGTCGGAGCGTTGTACTTTGGGAACCTGGCCAAGGATTCGTTTGTAAGGGCAAGGGACCGAAGATACATGAGCTTTGATTATCCTAGTCGACTTACCAATCAGTGGGAACGAGAGGAGAAAGCAAAGGGAGGTGTTATTTTCTCTCGATTCTTGCAAAGCGCTCTACTCTTGGCCACTCTTGCGAAAATGAATTATGAAAGCGAGTCTTTAAGAAATGAACTGTTCAGGAAAAGAGATGCCAAATAACTAGCAATAAATCAAGGTGACAAAAAAAAAAAAAAAGCGAAACTCAGGTCCAAGAAACCTGACCAAACCCTACCTCTGCCCTGCTCCGCCAAAGTATCATAAAATCAATGAGAAAAAAGAAAAAGGTACAAAAATCTCTCTAACAGTTCTAAAAGCACGGAAATTTAAGCTAAGTAGTTAAGCCCCAACCCGAGCTATAGATGATATTCAAAATACAGGGACGAAAACCCAGCAACAGCAAAATGAATTCTCTGAAAGAAAAAAGACAAAACCCCCCAACTCCAATTCTAACCAGTTCCGGTATCATTATACGAGCTCTCTACCTCGGAGAGCAATCCTTGTCTCTCATCCTCTACCTGCGCTCCTACTACCTCTAACTCGTCCTTCTTCGGCGGCCATCGGTAGAATTGTAGCCCAACAATGGCATCCATGATAACCACGCTCCAGGCCCCCAGGAAGAACGGGAGTGTTCTGCTCCACCATTCGTCCGCGACACTGCCATCCGGGCCTGCAAGCCCACCGCCTCCGTAGGCGGGATAGTCGTTCCAGCCAAGCGGGTTAATGATCAGACTCGCGGAATAGAAGAAATTTCCCGAGAAAGCAGCCATGAAGAGGATTGGTGAGAGGCCGTCAGTTGATTTGCGGGAATGGTTCTTCAAGATTTGGGGGATTCGGGAGGAGAAATATCTGTGTCGGGGTTAGGGTCGATACCTGGAGGAATTCAGGGCTTAGACTACTAACAGTATGCAACTTGTCCAGCTCAAGATCTGGCCTATATCAACCTCTGCGAGAGGGGCCTGGGTTCCTATAGGTGCGGCGTGTGCGCGGGATGAAAGCAATGCCAATGACCCAAAGACTATGGTCCGAAAGCTACGGTTGTCACAATGTGTTCTTGCTACTCTTACTCTATCCCTCAATCCATCGAGGTTAGGATTCTGCGATGTCCGTCAGATGGGTACAGCCCTGGAAACATTGGAGCTAGTAATGCAAACCTGATTGGTCCCATAGCTGTATAGAGACGGGGTCCGGGTATTATCCTCCCCAACCTCGCTCTCACTTTTCTTAATCACAGGAGCACGTCGATCGAGTCTTTCTGACCCAAATCCGTAATAGTAAAGTTGGAACACCAAGACCGTGTCTATGAGAATGTAATACGCGGCTATAGCAATCTGAAAAGGCTGTTGATGGAGGAGTACCGCACCCGTGAAATTGCCTGTTTCAAAAAATTAGGGGCCAATTCCCTCAACCCTCCTTGGAATCAACTTTCGGCCAAACATATAGGAACTGCTTACATATATCACCAGCCAGCCAAATCGCCATAAATGCCCACGACAAGCCTTCCGCCGACTGGTTGAGGTAGTTTTTATGTACCTGCGGTATCTGGGCGCACAGCCAAGACATCATTGATAACGTTCCGAAAACGGTTGAGACGAAACTTATAGCTGAAGGGATACATGTCCCGAAGACGGAGGAAATAGTAGTAAGGAAAGCCCCTCGGGGCTCACAATGGGGCGGTAACATAGCTGCCTGAAAGCCACAAATTTCTCGAAATCCAACCAAGCTGTATCGGTAACAGTTACGATCGACGATAAATTCTCGCACCGTGTATTGCACCAGGTCCCTCCGACAATATGGTAACCAAACACCCGAACCGACTAGCTATATAGCGAGCAAATTATAGATTCAAGTCCCGGCGGCACTGAACAGGGAAAACACTTGTGATGCCCCAAATGTAGATTTTCAAACCGCCGGTGCAGATAGAGGTGAAAAGGAAGCCGAAATTTCCAGAGGTAGTCAAATACCGTGAAGATGAAAAATAGAAAGGAGCGAGCGACGAAAAACCACCGTGAACCGACAACAGGCGGCGCTGAACCCCGCGGATAATGTTCGATCCGACAGGATCCGATCTAACAAAGAGGGGCAAACAGCCCAAGCCTAACTCACAGTTGCAAAGATGCAAAGTGCAAGATCCAGGCTCTCTCGGAGGCTAAATCCATCACAGTGTTAGAATCCAAACTTTTGAAAGCGCGCTAAAACATAGAAAGGGATTCTACCGGTGTTTTCTATTCCCTGGTAGAAAAGGGCCCTAGTTTCTGGGGACCTGGTTTACGTAAAACCTCGAACATGAGACAGGGTCTTCTTCACTTCAGAAGAGGAAATAGCACACGGGGCTCAAAAATTCTCTTTTTTGACTAACGAGCAGGGGATTAGCTCATGATACCGGTATGGAGACGCTGGAGACGCGGTGGGGGGAAGTCTCACGAGACAACCCCGACGACTTGATTCCCGGGAGTTACGGTAAGGACACGCACCCCAAGAGTCTCAACTCTAGAAACCCTGGGCAGGGTCCCGAGAATGTCAAGCTGTCTCGTGGCGCGAGACCACTGAGGCGAAGACGAGCGGATACAAACTACAGGAGGCGTAGTCGCACTGCTTCTACACCGATCCTGTGCACGTCTCACCACCGAGACGAAAGGGATTACGGAGTCTTGGATGCAGAACAAGATCAATACGAGTAGAGAGCACAATAAGTGGGAGGAGGGTAGAAATAAAAATGTATGGTATGAATAGGAGAAAGGGGGAGAGGGAGGGATGGGAAGATGGGCTGCGAGCAAGGGGGAGCGGAGGATTACTTGTAGATAGTCAATCAAACAGCATATCGCAGATAAGAAACTGGTCAATATCTCACCCTGTAAACTCTACTCGAGTAGGCAGCCTTCAGGAATCATCATCACGACAAAGTTCCCTATGGTAATAAGGAGAGAGCTCAGCTGCATGGCTAAATGTGGACATGGATAGCGTGTACTGTAGTCGTACAGTATGGGCGCGAATGTGTTGGTGTGTGAGGGTGGAAATTGGGAGTGTGTCTGCCGGTATCTGGCTCCCAGCTCCACTGATAAGGGACTCCGAAGGTCACCCATGCTACTGCTGTAAGCGAATATTGAATCACCACGAACATACCCATCACCGCCCCCCCCTTTTATTTTTTTGCAGGATCCCACAGAAGAAATATTCGTACAGTAAGTTGGCCTCAAATCCCGTTCTTCTCTCGTGTACGAAATTCTCCGGTCCATATCATACCACACTGGTTTTGTAGACTAGAAAGAGCGCAAGCTCGGTTTGCACGACAGAAATCCATCATGTTTGTGGTTTTTAACCGAGAGCGATCTCCCTCCCACCTCCCTTCGGTAGACTACGAGTACGAGTACTGGTACCCGCACTGTACCTATTCCTCGGAGATCAGTTGACAAACCATTTCAAGCGCAAAGAGTAAAGCCTAGTCTGAAAGATTATCTATCTCCCTGCTAGTCGCGATCGAGTTACGGTTTCTGCTTTTAGACCACGAGCGAATGATTGGTGCGGGGCATCCCGGTCCGGCCGATCGACCTCGTGCCTCGCTCCGAATCCCCCCCCCCGCATCCAAGATTATGGAAGGCTCGATGGCACAAACATCCCCCCACACTCGACGATGTCTTGGACACTTTTGAAGAATCTTGGAAGGAGGATATGACGAACGACTGATCAAACGGGCCACCAGTTGAGATATCGCGAACTGGACCGAATCTACAGTACCGTACTCGAGTATTGTTGTTACCAGAGCACCGGGACCTCAGGGCGGTGCGGTTCAAGGATGTGCTCCATGGGGTCATCCATTACTCAGGCGGCTTACTCAGATGGAATAGTCTACCGGTAAGCTTCAGGTCCCATTGTCGGGGTGCTTGTTGCAGCCCACGAGACCATCCCTATCGATGTGCGAAAGGCCTTGAAGGGTGAACAGTTCCATAGCTCATTGTTTGATGATAGCAGTACGCTAGGTAAACACGCTACCACGGGTATCGGAGTAGCTAACTTAAAACACCTCGCGGTCATGCGAGCATTCCAATAATGAAAATTTTATCACACTTGGCGCACATCGCGGTCTTCTGATTACGGCAGTGGGAGGGAGAATCTCGATGAGAGCCAGACCATCACTGTACGAGTTCTCGTAAACCGTGATTCCTAGAAAACAAGCGAAGGTGTGCGAATTTGGCATGTGCCAATGGAGTCAAACGGTAGGGAGTATCTGAAATATCTCTCCATTTCAAAACTCTTGGGCTCGTGCATTCTCCAAAGATACTTGCGCAAATACGATGCTGTGCTCTAGTGGTAGAAGAAAGAGCCTTTGAATAGTGGCCTACCGCATTCGTCAGATTAGTGGCACAAGAGGTGGCGATAAAATGGCACTCGAGTACGGTACTGTACTCATATTCAACGCTACAGGCAACACCGACAGTCCTGGAGGCTATGCTCTCGTGAAACCCTGAGATACAAGTACGGTACGGCATGATACCGGGAACAGCAACAAAAGTGCTACACAAAACACCACAGCAACACCGAAAATATTAGCGTACTGTCACTTGCCTTTGTGGTAAGGTTTGCAGACAGGATTGAACATAGTATACTCGAGTACTCGCAGTTTAGACTTAAAGATGAATTTCCTCACTTGCACTATGATATCGAACTATATGGTGACAAAGGAAAAAACCTCCTAGTCTGTACTCGAGTATATCATATATCCATGACTAGTCACATGAAGCAGCACCATACCAAGGAAACATTTATTGGTGATACATTGTCTTGTGTGTTCATCACCTACAGTACAAGGACCAGTCCAAAGAATCACTCACTATTCAGTGTGATACTCAAGCACAGCACCGGCGTGACGAGTTACAAGGAGCCGTGACGAATACCATGCCGTGACGGATAAGGATTAATACCGGTATTATGATATGATAGTAGGCTTATTTTTTTTGTTACCCTACTTTGACGGGTTTACTTTGTTTGCCCGCAAAACACCCCTTTTCGTCACGGCCTGGGAACTTGTGATACCATTCGTCACGGTCTCGTTGCAGACAGTAATGATCGACCAAGCCAAGTATTAATTTTGCCGTTGCAGTGTAGATCACAAGTATTTAAAATAAATAATTCCCTCGCGACTGCCCCGCCCATCGAACAATCCCCCGAATCTGGCGGCTCTCAATCCTGAAGCTTATCTCGATAAGGCCTTATCCAACCGTTATCTTTACGCAGCCACCCGACACCGACATGGTGATTGTCGACTTGTCAGATTGTGTTCTGGTGCTCCGACGATCAGTCCTTCAAAGGGTGCGTGAAACGTTTATTGCGAGGGCGCGCAGCTTGAGCACTGCATGGCACAGCACTTTATGCGGCCCAGATTGTTGAAACATACTCGAGTATGATGGGAAGGTCTTGGGAAGGCACACGGCATGATCGAGAATCCCGTGCCCATCGTTGCCAATACAGATCCACCTCGGCGGCATCTTGGCACGGACAAACAATTGCACCAATGAGCAATTTTTGTTATGGTGGATTGACCATTACGAGTACCGGTACTGGTGAGCCAGTACCGGTATTACGCAGTATGGTACTGCACACTCCCGAAAAATCCTCATAACCCTCACAACCACTACCGGTACGGCATCCGCACATTCAATCGTGGCTGCTCTTTGGCTGGTGCTGACATGCCATGGCAGCCACAGCTACAGATGTGAGCCGGTGCGGATGTGAGGAATTTTCGGGAGTGTATGAGTACTCGAGTTCCGGTGCTGTGCATTTCCCCGGAATCCCGCGTCCGGCGGAATTCCGGTACCATATGCCTACGCAAGTTGCCACGACTTACGGAGGAGAGGCCGGAAATAAGCCTCCCGGGCTTACTGTGCTCACGGCTTTACGAGAGCACCTCTATAAGTATGTACTGTATAACTACAACAACAGCCAAGAAATCCACTCAATTACACCCCGACGATACCTTCTGCAACTGACTGAATTCCACCCAAAAAGTTATTACATGATGGTTAATATCACTTCTATTCGGTCTGCCAATGCAGATTTTGCCAGCCTGCCGCTGGCAAAGGGGTTGGTTGCGGTGTTTGGTTGGTTTATTCCTTCCGGAGTCTTTAGGAGCTGTTCGCATACTGACCGGCATCAATTGAGAGAGCAGTTGGAGCTACAGCTGGCATCGGTGAGAGTGCTCTGAGAACCTTCGTATCGAATACAGTGGATCCGACCGTTTACTTTGTTGGCCGGTATGCGAGCTTCACATCAAATTCGCACTTCGTCCCACTCAAATTATGCTAACTTCCTATCATGCATGCTAGTTCCGAATCCGCTGGCAGCAAGATAACAGCAGACCTACAAGCCCTTAACCCATCTTCCAAAATCCAATTCCTCCAGGCAGACACAACCCTCCTATCCACAGTTGACAAGGTCACCAACCAAATTGCCGCCTCGGAAAAGAAATTGAACCTCCTCTTCATGTCCCCGGGCTACATGACGATGCAAAGCCGCGATGAATCACCGGAAGGCATCGACCGCAAAATGGCCATCTCCTACTACGCCCGCATGCGCTTCGCCCTGAACCTCCTGCCCCTCCTGTCGACCTCTGAGCCGGCTCGGGTGATCAGTGTGCTGGGTCCTGGCACTGAGGGCGCCCTCGACATGAAAGACCTCGGCCTTGCGGCACCAGGGTCTTTCAGCTTAGCGGCTGTAGCGAGGCACACAGTAACAATGACTTCACTGACGTTCGAGCACTTGTCCAGACAGTACCCTAACATCGGTTGGATTCATGCAACGCCTGGATTCGTTATCACAGGACTAACTAGAGGGTTGCCTGCCCCGCTAAGAATACTGTCGAAGATCACGGAGCCGCTGCTGAAATTCGCCAGTACACCTATTGGCGACTCGGGGCAGGGATTCTTCTACTTGAGTACGCAGGAGAAGTTTGCGAAGGGATTGTGGTTGGTCGATTGGAAGGGGGAGAGTGTCGACAGCCGGGTTGAAGAGGGGAAGAACCGGTGGGCTAAGAGTGGGGCTCAGTGGTGGGGGGATAGCAAGGTGGAAGCGGTGTGGAGGCATACCGAGGAGGTTATGGCCAGTGTCAAGAAGTAGATTCGGTTTTAATGGCGTTGGTATTGATTTTGTTTACAGTCTATGCTCATATTTGTTTTAGCAACCCGACGATGTATCGGGACCCGTTAAGACTTAATCAGTTGATCAACAACATGAACATGCCACCGCAATGTCCAAACCTCTCTTTTACTCCCAGCCCGGCTTTCCATTCGAGTGACCGATTATGTGTAGTGAGAGTTCCCCCATCATCCCAAGGGGATTCCTCTACCCAAGGTAAGAGGCTGAGTAAAAAAATACTCTATCAAAAAAGAATAAAAATCTATTATAACACCTTTATCTTTACGAGTATCCCCATACATAGAAATACATGAACTTAGAGATATCAAGAAGGGTGGCGTTTAGCCATCAAACGGATGAGGAGAGCCATGAGCAAAGGAGAAAATGAAACGCTGGAAACGGCATAGCACCACACAAGAAATAACTCTAATGACCACCTAGCCAAACCAAGTATCGCAAGAGAAATGCAAAGGGGAAAGGAAAGACCGGACCGCATTGCCCCCATAAAACTATTCACAAGAATGCCCTGCTGGGGCCAAGACCATCTAGCATTTATCATAACATCTAACATCTAATCAACCCTAGCCCTAGCCCTAGCCCGAGCAGCCTCCCTCTCCTTGAGCCTTCGCTCCTCCGACTCGACCATATCTACACTAGAAGTTAGCTATCGTACGATGATCCAACAACCAGACAAAGGAAAAACAAACCTTTCCATAGATCCTCGCCGGAGTAACTCTCGTGGTGTATCCTCTTCTCAATCATATGCCTATGCTTCGGGTCCTCGGGGTCGACAACGAGCACCGTCTCAAACTTCCCCTTGCCACTCCTAGCATCCGCCACCTCGAACCCGGCGCTGGCGATGAGCAGGGCGAGGGTGAGGCCCTGGGCGTACATCCTCGCCTGGACCAGCTTCTGGCTGGTGGTGAGGTACCTGTTGCGACTGACGAGCCCCAAGCTTACGGCCATACTGGCGACCCAGCCCGCCGTGACGATGGGGTACCGGTTCTCCCGGCCAAAGTCCTTGAACCTCTCCCAGCCCGTCCTGTTGGCCCTAGCCATGGCGAGGGCGCGCGCCGCCGAGTCCTTGTACTCGCGGAGCTCGGCGTGGCGTGAGGCCTCGTAGCCGCGGGAGTAGACGTCGGCATTGATGATGGCGGCGAAGGTGCCCGAGCTGCTGACGAAGAAGGCCTTCAGCGGGAGCGTGAGGCTACGGAATAATTGCCAGCGGCGGTTGAGGACCGCTGCGGCACCGAGACCAACTCCTAGCCCCACCAGACCGCCGGAGATTCCGCCCTTGAGGACGGCAGCGTAGTGCTCTTTGGATTTGTAAAAAAAAAAATAGTGAGTTAGAATTGCATTTGGAAATGGGACAACGGGGTAAGGTTGGCTCACCTCCTTCTTGCTCCTTCGTGAGAACCTTCATGCTGCGGTTTTTTTTGTTTTGAACAGGGGGGGGGGGCTCTTTTGTGATGCGATAGTTTGCCTAAAGAAGAGCGAAGGAAATGGGGGGGGAAGTTGTGAGTGGGAGGAAGTGCGGTTAACTTGGCTCGAAACGTGTTATCGCAATGACGACAATAGGTTTATCGGTCAGGACAAGGATGCTGGAAATCACAACAAACTCACAACTTGGTCGGATATCGAATCGCTTTCACAGCAGGAAGAGGAATTCCTTAGAGTATGAAGATGGTAATTATGATGGTGAAGAAGAAAAAAAACCGTCCCTGACGAGATATCGAAGGTTTCTATCTCCTTCTATTTTTCGAGCGCCGGGGAACTATCGGATGAGTGGCAACAATGTCACTGACTAATAGTGGCATGACCGAAAAGAAATATACACTCGAGTATCATAAGGGAGAAAAAGAACTCGGATGGAATCGGAATTACTGCTGCATCGGCACAGTATCATTCATAAGCAATACTTTTACTTGCATTGCCAAATTTTGCTCGCTTCTCCAGCTTCTCCAGCTTCTCCGGAACCTCGCAATGCTACTTGTACAAGTGCCTTACACCCGAATATCATATCATTTGTTCTGACAAGCGCCGTGCTTGTTCGAGTGAAAAGTGACTGTGACGTAGGCTCACCGACTCCGAAAACTTACCGGTATCGTCCAACCTGTCCAAATTTCCAATATCAAAGTCATCGTATAAGTGAGACTCATACAAATCGTGCGTCTAGGCCATTGGCGCGAAACCTTAACCTACTCGCAGGAAGAAATTTACCAGACCTCTAATGTTCGCAAAGAGTAATAATTTCTCTCCTCTACCAATACTATCCCGTGGCTACCAACAGCAGATAGGTAAGTAGGTAGTCTAGGTACTGTGCTGTACTAATGCCCAAGAGCCAAAAGGAGTCTTGGATTTTGGACATATATCATCCGTCCTACATGACTTGATTTAAAATGTGAAAAAAAAAAATAAGATCAGAAGAGTAAAGAATCACGGACTCAAACCGCCTCCCCCCCCCAAAAAAAAAGACGCAAAAACACAGGCGGATAAGGAAGCGGAATAACGAAAGAAAAAACTGTTTGCGCCCCAAGAAAACACCGCGATTCAGGATTACGACAATGAAAGGAGAATAAGGGGAAAAAAAGACACCGCGCCGTTGTCGAGCATGAGCAAGTGATCCATCAATAAATCGAAATCATCCACCCGTCACACAATTTGTCGCTGATAGGAATGAAATGAAGGGAGGTTTTCGGCGTCATGGCTGATCAATCAAGAGGGATAAACGGAAGGAGAAAAAGAAGAAAGGCCCATATTTTTTTTTCCCACCTGGGGAGTGGAAAAAGACGTTGAATAGAATTGAACAGGCAACAAGGATAATAAGTAAGGAAAGGAAGAGAGGGAACATCCAGTCGTGTCTATATGGTAACCCGTGGATCGGTGGGTGCATGGCGGTGGGGTGGCGGTCGTGGGGTTGGGTTATAGTTTGGGTTGGGCAGTTAGTTAGACTTCTATCGTGAAGTGTGAGATTTGTGAATAGTAGCTGCTGACGGCGAGTTCTAGGATGTAGGTATCGTTGAATACGTCATGTCTAATTCAGAGTTAGCATCTTGTGGGAAAGGATGGAAGGAGAAGAGGAAGGTACCCATCGAAACCACCCATTACGAATAACCTACTATCATGCAGTACCGCGCCATGATATCCCCGGCCGCTAGGTGGCATGCCGTAGACCTTTCTCTTGTCCCATTGCATCGTCACTATTAATATTAGTTCATGCTCTGCCTCAAGCCAATTTACTTTGCTGAGTGGAGAAAATACCAAGGTTCAATAACAAGACTTCACTAGAGTACTCCACACCATCATGCCCCCCAACAACGAATAGGTAGCTCCCAACGATCGTCGCGGTATGACTGAGGCGCGGATAACTAGTCTTGATGCTAACGCACTTCCAGACATTGGTTTCCAGGTCGAAAACCCACACATCCCGAAAGCACTCGTCACCGTCGCTCCCCCCAAACACAATCAATTTCGATCCCACCATATTCGCGGTATGGTACCCCCTCGCCGCCGGTCGTGCTTGGTGCTGCAGACTCTCTGTTCGGGTGGATGGGCGCCCATCGATGCTTAGGGAAGTTGTTGATCCACCAGGGCGGGGCGGGGCGGATATTAGTTTCCAAGAAGGCTTAGTCAAGTCCGAGACGTCTAGCCTCCATACATCGTTCAGGGCCCGGACGCCGTCGCCTCCGCCAAATACGTAGATCCCGTTCTTGTGCAGACAAGCGGTGTGGGCTCGCCGCCGGGAAGGTTGTTGGCCACCGGCTAACTTTGGCCTGGCGTAGCGGTTTGTCACGGTGTCGAAGACGTAGATATCATTGTAGTATGTTGGTCCATCTCCACCGCCAAATATCACTAACTTTTTGTTGACAGCTGTAGTAGTCATTGCTCTTAGTGGCGGTGGAATCTCACCGTAGACTGCGGGCTTGGACCAGGACATTGAATCTACACTTGATTAATTTGGGGTTTCCTGGGGAATATCAAATGCACTTGCAATCCTACCTGCGTCAAAAACATGGAGATCATTAAAACACGTTCGCACATCACATCCTCCGAAAACATATACGCTACTCCCTACTAATGTGCAGGTATGTGCTCTTAATGGCATGCTATCCTGTCCATGGGTTGGAGCCTTGTACCAATACATACCACTGGCAGGAGCTGGGGCCACGGAAGGTGCACTTCTGGGATCTGGGAGTGGAGGTTCAAGGCTGGGCGGGTGTCGTGGCCTATTCTTCGCACTGGCCGCATATGTTGCTAATGATACTTTGGATGACTCTTTTCGGTCTCGGGATGAAAGACTTTTCTGTGATCTAGATGTATTCACTGGAGTAGTTGTTGATGCAGGTGGGTTTTTGAAAGTGTATGAAGGAGCAGTAGCGACTGAAGACGTACTATCTGAACGAGCTACCATAGAATTCAATGCTGTTGCTGATATTGATCGAGTCTTCTGCCCTGGGGTAGATCCGGACGGGCTGGCCAATGAAGATAGCCGAGACCCTGGAGATCCCGGGGTTGTGACTGGGTTGGGGACCTCAAGTCCACCATTTTGCTTATTTCTAACAGAAAGGCTAGCATACTTTAGTGGCGAAGCGGTAGCAGAGCGCGCTGGCGGCACTGTTTGCGGTCTTGAGGACGATTGCCTCTCTGATGTTGAATTCGCAGACGTACTACTAGCAGAACCGCCCTTATCTGCCCAACTCTGCAAATCCAGGGGTGCTGGTACCATTTGTGTCTTAGAACCACGCCTCTTTGAGTGGGAAAACGAAATGGTTTGGGGTAATCCTGATGTACCTGATGTTGAGCTGCGGGACCTTGCAGATTTCAATGAAGACGATGTAGATGCCTCATCTGACGATGAGGTGTATCCCTGAACTGTCGAAGCTGCCGCTGACATCGATGACCCCCTCTTAGAGCCAGCCGCTGAGCCAGCCGGAATGCCCAATTGATCTGTCGCTAAAGCAACCCTCTGTTCCAATTCCTGCGCCAAAACAATGCTCCCCCCGCCATCGTCCTCCTTACTTCCCGGCGATGGAGGCCTAATAATCCTTCTAGAATCCGATATCTTCCTTGTTATTCCCGGCATCCTTCTCATTCCAACCTCAGCGGCAACTTTACTAGCCTGCCCATCCTCAGCCCGATACTCCAACACACCCACAGTCCCAAATCGATCGTCCTCCTCCCGCATTTCCTCATCAGACATGATTTTCCTGCTGGAAACCGATCTACCTGGCTCGAATACCGGGGCTGTGGGTAATTCCCTCATCTGCCCCTCCCTTGTCACACCCAACCCTGTTGTCGGTTGGGGAAACCCCCGCGCAACCATATCAGTGTAAGAATCATGCCTCGATAAGCTCCCCTTGCAGCTACTGCTTGCTGAGCTTGTGGATGCTATCGTAGCCATAGAAGCGGATGAGCTGAGCATTGGGGGTACCCTAATATGGTTTGTAGCCCCTGTGGCTGTAGCAGATGACGACCGGTTTCTCGACTTTGACCCATTACTGGTGCCTTTCGACGAAGATGTACCTTGCTGCAATGACGGACGCCTTCTGTGCAGAGTAGGGATCGCGAAGATGTCAGTAAGTGAGTCTGATAAACGCTTCTTGATTGTGTGAGTGTGAAAAGAGGAGACAGTAGTGATGCCAGTAGGTGTTGGAGGCGGCGTATCGGGGTTGAAGCGGGTCCCATAGTATGCGGGGCTGGAGGAAGGGATTGGCGAAAGAGTCGGACGGAAGCCCTCTACATCTCGAGCCATGGTGACCCGAGCAAAGGGGGAAGAGCAAAAGTGAGTGAGGGGGAGGAGTGTGATGATAGTGACGGTGGTGATTGTTGTCGATGGATAATTGTCGATTCAATCCCCCCAAGGACCACCGCTACCGGCTGTCTTCCACTCTGGACTCTCGCTCCAAAACGAACAAACTTGCTCCACTCCTCGCTCTCCTTATCCTGTCCGCGCACTGATACCGGTAGGCCGATGGATGCTTGCTCACTCACCACTGGCACTCACTCACTGACTCCTCTCTCCTCCTCCTCTTCTTCTCTCTGAAGCCACGCAATCAAGTATTGGGAACCGGACCTGCAAATGAAAAGTGGAGGAAAGGAAACTTGGACACACCTTCCATTCGAGTCAACCAACGCTGCTACTGCAGGAGATCCCATCCCCAGGAGAGCCGCATAATCAGCCATTCCCGCGCAGTGCTCTTCCACCTCTTGTCTATCTGTCCCTGGCAGGCTTCCAGAATTCCTTCCAGCCGGGATCAGCTATACGGAAGACAGTAAGGACGATTCTTGCACTGTTCCTGTGGGAACCCGAGAAAGGCTCGCAAATCACGGATAGGGCCAATTACACTTTAGGAGACACCAGACCTCACTCTATTGACTGTTCGCCAGAAAGGAAATCCCGCGTGGGTTTGATTGTGGCCCTGCAGGTCTGTGCTTGGGCAAGTGCAGCAGCCCCCGTTGGCAGCGACAGACGGTCGGAGTAGCAGCGGAGCAGCAAAGCGTTCGAGCGATGACAGCTGTCTGGGTCTCCGGGACGGTGATAATCTCCCGCCGTTTGGACCTTGGTACGAACTCCCCCTTTTTTTTTCTTTTCTCCTTTTACCCTCTTTACTGAGCGGGTTAGGGTGACTAGGGAAACGGGTGTGATAGGGAAAATGGTAACACGATACGGCGATGTTCGATTCCAATCCAAAAGCGGAGCTTCCAACCTCTTGCCCGGTTTCTTTCTTCTCCCTGCTATCGTATTCAAATCTCCCGATATGTTGGATGATAACCGTTGAGTCGTTAGTGTGCCGTCAGTTTGTCGCTCCGGGTTGCTTTGCTACAAGTTACTGACCTGGGGATTTTTGGCCTGCCCTGGATAGGAATCCTGCGGCTCCGTCCTGCAGCACGTTATTGTGTGTGATGTGTGGTGTGTGCGAGAGTTCCCCTTCCTTCCCTCACTTTCTTAGACCTTCCCTTCTCTCAATCTTTCTTACCCTTCCTCCCTCTGCCTACCCCCAATGCACCCCCTACCCCGGTACTTCTCTCCCGTAACCCTACGAAAAAGCTGGGAAGAGGTCACTCTCGGCAATGGAACAGAAAGTTCCTGTATGGTAGAAATGATGAGAAACAAAAAAAAAAAAAAAAAAAAGAGTTTCAAACACCGTAGTAAATAGGGTATAGTGATGAAAACAATAATAATTGGGACTCCCCGTTATCTCAAATGACAAAAGTCCATCCCCAGAATTGACCGATGAAATCGAACGGCCTGAGCGGGACCGCTAGTAATACCGGACTTTTTTTTTTTTTTTGGCGATTGAGACTTGACTTATTCGTAGTTGGAGCTACTTGCACTTCTTGAAGGAGCCATGGCACAGATAACCAGTCGATCCTTTCTCCTCCTCTCCCCCCTCTTCCCTCTCCTCCTTCTCTTCTCTCTTCCTCGAAACGGTTCAGAATACAGTTTCTTCCCCCTGAATCTTCGTCACCGTGATGAGTAAAGAGCGGAAGCCTGCCGGAAGCTTCCTCGAGCGGACAGGTAAAAAAAAAAAGTTAGTAAATAAATCGACAATGACAATTGTAATAATGAATCAATAAATCAATAAACCAATACTGTACTTAGGGACGATAATCGTAATCAATCCCCGGTGTCTGCGCCGCTCAACCCCCCCAAGTCTTCCCCCCCTTGGTGGTGGTGGCCCTTGCACCCGTTTCGGGTTTAGTACTTTTAGTCCGGCGGGACAAGCAGGCAAGCAATGACTTCCCCTACTTTCACTGGGGTTCGCGGTGAGAGGGAATGCCCCGCGTGGCGGTGCTGGAGCATTGACTTTGATTGATAATCTGGTACCGGCACCCGAGCACGGTACTCGAGCAGAACCAGTACGAGCACCGTACCGTGGGTTAAGTCTAATACGGTACGGTAGCGTCACTGTAAGATTGGGGTGGGGGGGTGGGGGGGTGGGATCATGTGTGCTTCGGTTTTATAGAGTACCGTAGTCGGGTTGAGCTGGGTTGGGTTGAAGGGGAGACGGCCATTGATAATTGCGGTGACTAGCTGTTGTAGTATAGTACTGGGATGGGAATCAAACCTTCGGGGAGAGGAGGATGATCTATTCTACTGTGCTGTGCTCGAGCATACGGTAGTCGAATGAGGTTGACAGTCTCATGTGCCATGCCGCGCTAGCAATTTGAATATCATATCACCACTACCGGAAGGTCCCCCTCCCTCTATAACCTACAAGTACTTCCACCCTAGCCCACCTCGACTACCGCATTCTACCTCCTAACTACGGTACTAATCCTCACTCCCTCCCTTTCCTTTTACAGCCTCACCTCATCTTACAGTACTCTACAAGCCAGTTCCATACAGTACTGTAACTACCAGTACTGTGCTCGAATACAAGAGGAATATGCTTGCTCATTGGAATTCACCGTCCGGGATAGGGGTACAACAAATTCAGCTCAGCCCACGGTTGAGGCAAAGAAGGGATACACGCCGCCTTGCTATGAAAGGCAACTATTATACAACGTCCTAGCATATATCTCCTGCATTCGAGCACTACGTACTTACGGTACTAGTCAGCGGCTGAAGAAACCCTCCACCTTCCTTGCTTACAATGATGACTTTTTTTTTTTTTTTTCCCTTCAAGAAATGAGGTCCGGTCCAACAACCCTCATCTGCTATGGATGAGCTCCAGAAACACATCTACCTCCCGTGAAGTGATGGGAGAATCACCATAGGAAGAGGGAGGTGAAGGGAAACGAGTCTCTCTTTCTGCTCCGACTTAAGTCTTACATTTATAGGGGCAAAATAAGGATGATGCATTTTGATATACGAACAAACCTGGAGCCATGACGTTAGCAATATATACCGGTAATCCTCAGGACTCCGTGCAGCATCATACTACCGGAGCACGGTACCGTATTCCAGGTAGAAGGTACGGTATTGTACATGGGATGAACCAGCGTTCGTTACGTGGAGAACAGACAAATACCACACAAATCAACAATTCCATGCTCTGCTTATTCCACCTGATTTTGTGATCCCTGTGGGATGGGATTTATATATACCGGTACGCGTCTCGACCTCGTACAGCATACCGGTGTGTTTAACGTTAATAATTCTATTGTGTAAGCTTAAGCTAGAAGGGAGATACCTACTCCAGGCACCGTGCTCAAGTCTCCGGATTGGAGTTGCTTTTTTTTTTTTCTTGGTGCACCAGAGTCCAGACCACCTCCAAAAGCAATGCAATGCCAGACTGGCCGCTTGTATGATTGGTAGACTGATCCCACGGAAGTTCCAATATCCCGTTCACCCCGGATAGTTACTTGTATAGTGATGGTGCCCATCGTGTTATTCCTGTTCAGAATCCCCCGTTAATCACATGTGGGAGCGATAAAATAAACCTCCTCGCAGAACGATATGCGGCGCCGTGGACCTAAAGAGTTCGTAAGATCATAGCGCTATCACTTTTATACATCACTCAACTTATCATCCTCACCCTCCGAATTACTGCCACTGGTATCCCATCCCCTACCCACGGCGCCTAGCAATAATCTCAACCCACCGGTCTACGCTCCATCCACAGCAAAGCCCAACCCAAACGGTATCGCTTAGGGCAGTACTTGTACTCGTACAGTACCGGTGCAGCTTCCACCGCTCAAACCAAGTCAAACCAAACTAGCCCTTCCAGTAAATTTCTAGAAAAGGAGAAAGAAAGAAAGAATTCAGCCCTTCACCTAACCCCGACCTAGTTATGCACATAAACGCTGGCACAACCGGCCGACTGACCGACCATGGGATACACAGACAAAGTTGCACGGTGCAAGCACGGTGTGGTGCCTGAACCTACAGTACAAGTACTGTACCATTCTCGAGTGCTGCATTTGCACTTACAAGGACAAGGAGTGCAGTTTGTTTTATGCAATGTCGGCACATCTCTGTGTGGCACAGATTTCTTCGGTAAATTAGAGAAGAGTCTGGCCGTTCAGGGAGGATGCTGGTGATGATGTACGAGTAGATGGAGGAGCGGGATCTTCTCCACTAGGAGAGTAATTTATTATAAACCGGCAGGTACAGTACAGTGCTAGCATCTACTCGTACAGTACTCGTATGTGTGATATGTGGGCTTTTCTTAAGAGGCTTCAACCCCGATCGACGGGTCGCCACTTATGCCAAGAAATGGTAGTCTCGGGTCCGTAGTGCTCTAGGAGTGGCTGGACTGGACTGTGCTGCACGGTGCTTGCTGATGGATGCGGTTGCTGTGTCGCCTCACGTATAGTGCTGAAGATGCTGTGAGTGGTCTGCGGTAACTGCAAGCACGGTATCGGACGCACAAAATCCTCCGGTAGCCCGGACCAACGTGAGGATATATGATACAGTATTCTTGGGGTGTTGGACATAATAAGGTGCGGTACCCTTTATAATAAGGTAATTAGAATCCTACTATCATACGGTACGCCACATGCCTAAGGGTAATACTCGTAAAGGAAGTGAAGAGAGCAAGCGGAAGAAACAAGACCTCCAAGCCTTTCGCCCGTTACCCTAGTCATCTCACCCTGTATACGGAGGTACAGCACCTAAGTTTGGTATGTTACACTCGCAGTGGGCATCGTGTTAGCAACCGGTGTAACATACAAAACTTAGGAGCTGTACCTCCGTAAACTGTGGACAGGGTATAAGTATCAAGAAGACGGCATATGGTAGTACTGTACTACGATAGTGATAAACGTTCGTGATAACGCTTACCCCCTTCCCCCCACCGGCGAGCCTCTTCTTTCCCTCTCTCTCGGTGCCCGGCAAATAGGTCACCATGTCGCAAGCCATATTTAAGCCGCATGGAACAACTGATGTTTCCTCACAGCAGCCTCTTTTGCCCAATCGCCCTTTCCCGTTGAAAGAAGGAGTCGGGGAGGTCCAGTCCAGTAAGGGGTGTTTAAACCTTTCCTCCCTTTCCCCCTTCCTCTTTTCTTTTCCCTTCCCTTCCTTCCATTCTAGTGGCTCGAGTTCAAATTGGCGATCCAAGCGCAAAAGACCTAGGCTCTGGGTGTTTGATTCAAGGCCCTTCCGGAGCCTTGCGACCTTACTCGAGTACAGTGCCAGCCACCTGACAATGACCCTCTTATTCCCCTCGGCCTGCTCAACAGCACACGGGAAAGCCGGTGCTTTGGCACAAACTCATGCGCGTTTCCTTGCCTGAAAATGCCCACCCTACCGTTCTCAACCAATGCTCACTCGACAAAAAAATTAGAGACTGTGATATAAAATTGAAGAGGAACTAATCCCAAGTAGTTCTATGGAGTTCATTTCTCTGTTCGTTGTTGATTTTCGCTGTGAGGAGGGTCGATTTCAGACACCCGGCACCGTACTGGTACAGGGAAGAAGAGCTCCTCTCCCCTTACTTGGCTCACTCTCGGGGTGCACAACAAAGAATCGGGTCACCTTCGTCTCGGCATCGTATCATCGAAACAGCATAACAGGAAACCTTAGGGGGGGGCTAGGGGAAAACCCTAGGGTCCACTCCAATCACCCGCATTTATGCGCCATCATTTTGGCACGGCAGATAAAATATTGTCAATTACCGTTACGAGTACCAATACTCATATGTGAAAATAGGGAGGCGAGGGTATTATGATACCAATGGCTGTATCCGGGCTGAAGCTGGAGTTGTTTCTTGGTACTTCCAAATCCTGGAGCGGAAATGTCATTCTTGGTGGGAATCTTCATCTATTCGAGCCCTATTCCGCTTCATAAGCTCCATCTTTTTTACTCGCTTCCGGAACTGCCGATGTTGGGCGCCCGTTTTCCTCTTCCATTTCTATCCCGAGGATCTTCCTG